CTTGATTATTAACACTTGATTATTATACATGCGCTGATGAAATGTGCTATTACATTAAACAACCATTGTTGAAAACATGCACTAAGACACGCGCGCTGCTACTGATATTTTAATAACACTTGATTATTAACACTTGATTATTAAAGACGGTTTTTTGAAGAGCATTTCTTAAGCCTCTGTTATTCTCGAATATTCTTCGAATATTCATCGAATCCATGGGGAGGCGACCCCAATTTTTCACTTCGTGAAAAATTTTCCCAACGTCGCCTAAGAATTATCATCTCCTCGATCACTTCGTGATCTGCGCTGCCGAGCCCCCTCAAAACCAATGCTTTCTTAACATTTGATTATTAAAGACGGTTTTTTGAAGAGCATTTCTTAAACCTCTGTTATTCTCGAATATTCTTCGAATATTCTTCGAATCCATGGAGGCGACCAATTTTCACTTCGTGAAAATTTTCCCAACGTCGCCTAGAATTATCGGGGGCTCCATCCCCTGCTCGATCACTTCGTGATCTGCGCTGCCGAGCCCCCTCAAAACCAATGCTTTCTTAACATTTGATTATTAAAGACGGTTTTTTGAAGAGCATTTCTTAAGCCTCTGTTATTCTCGAATATTCTTCGAATATTCTTCGAATGTAGGCTCTGAATTTTCACTTCGTGAAAATTTTCCCCACCGTCGCTTAGAATTCTCGAGGGCTCCATTCCCCTGCTCGAGCACGAAGTGCTCTGCGCTGCCGAGCCCTCTCCGAAACGATGCTTGTTAACATTTGTTTGTAAAGACCGTTTTTAAAAACATATAGATTCCAAATTTTACCCTTTGAAACAATGACTTTTTCATACAGCTTTACATGACCTTTTACTGAGGGACGCCTTTGAGCCATGGTCTTATTTTATGCTGTTATAAAGAAAGTTTTACTACTATATTGAAACAAACAATTTTTACACAGCTTTTTACATGACCTTTTACCAGAGGGACGTCTTTGAACCATGGTCTTATTTTAAGCTGTTATAAAAATAGTTTTTACCCAAGGTTATACGTAGTATAGTACATGGGGGATTATAGCGCACTTTTCGTGCGCTAGAACCCCCATGTACTATACTACTTTCAAATATATATGATGTACATTTATTTCATATAGCACGTTTTGAAAGCATTATTTATACGTTGTTTATTTAATCGCTTTCATAAATATGTATTTCCTAGGTGAAAGTGTGTCAAAAAGCGCTCAAATACTGGCAAATCGCATCGACAAAATATCTATAACAAATTCAACTAAAACATACAAATGAATGTAGTATGAAAGTAAAATACCTTTTCAGCATTTAAATCCATCAAATGGTTGCCCCAAAGTCCACACAAATACAAGGAAAAATAAACGTAAATATCAATGTATTGAAGAAATTGTGTTGTTTCTCATTTGTTGACCAGAAAATAGTCGTATGTCACTCGTATGTACTCGTATGTTACTCGTATGTACTTGTATGTTACTCGTATGTACTCGTATGTCACTCGTATGTACTCGTATATTACTCGTATGTACTCGTATATACTCGTATGTACTCGTGTGGTGTTTTAGTCACGATCGTCGAAACTGACGTTATTTCCAGTCAACAATGATATAATCTTCAAGTTGTTTTGGGATTTTCAAATATTAAGCATGGTATCCGTGTTTGTAAGTTTTTAACATTTAACTTTGTTGAGCTTTGAAATAAGTAAAGCTCATATTTCACTTGATATCAGTCATAAATCGTTAAAACGCAGGATAGGCAAAAAGCACTGTAAACATAGCTTTAATTTGGTCGGTGAAAGACTGGCTTCAAAAAGCGTGTCGTTTGCGTTTACAACTAGAATCGCAATGTTTTCTTCTTATCTTATAGTAATTATATCGCTTTCAACTTCCCCTTCCCCCTGCTTATGTCTTGGGAAATTTTATGAATGGAATTCTTTGCTTGTGATAGTTCACTCGTGAATAAAAAGTAAAAACCGTCGACGCAAATCAACATTGATGGTATTTCACTTATAGTATTGAGATTTCATTTATTAACTCAGAACATTTTGATGCTTGTTTACCAATAGTGAGACATAATGAAGTTCGAGATATAACAGCACAGTGGATGGCAGAAGTTTGCTCGACAGTTGTGAAAGAGCCACAATTACAACCTCTTTCTGGGGAAGTGATATTACCTCGTACAGCCAATAGACAAGAAGAAGCGAGACTCGATATTCGTGCTAAAGGTTTTTGGTCTAGACAGCAAGATGCATTTTTTGATGTAAGGGTATTTCACCCAAACGCGTCGAGCTACCAAAACACCAATCTACCTGCACTCTATCGTCAGCATGAGATGGCTAAGAAAAGGGAATATGGTGATTGAGTAAGAGAGATTGAATATGCTGCTTTTACACCACTGGTCTTTTCAACATCAGGTGGTATGGGGAAAGAGACTGCAATTGCTTATAAACGGCTAGCTGATCTGCTGGCACAAAAGAGAAAGCTGCAATATGGCATCACGCTAGCGTGGATGCGTTGTAAACTGTCTTTCGCACTGATTAGGTCAGCAATTACTGCGATACGAGGAAGTCAATCTGCCTCAACTCGCGAACATTCTTTAAATATTGACCTAGGTTATTGGGAAAGTTGTCTTTACATTTGACTGTCCCTTTATCATGGATATTTTTAAAAACTGATTTTAGTCATATGTGATTCAGTTTTTTTAACATTTATATTTGTAATAGATAATAATGATCATAATAAAATACGTTTTCAAATAAATATAAAAATTCATACTCCAAAATAAAATTTTGATGCTTGTATGTTGGATCTGTTTTCATAAATTAACTTGAGTTTCGAGACAAAGAATTGAATGTCTATCCTGATGATTTTATTTGACTTGTTTATGTTAAAGAAAACGATAAAATTTAGCTTCAGCATTTAAGGAAAGTACCTTGTCACGACGTAAAAACTGTAAAAATTTCAACTCAAAGAAAATATGAAATCGGTATCTAACGTATTTCCTCTGTTTAGTCTCCCCTTCTAATAACTTGAAAAGCATAAAAAATGATTATTTTTTTTCTTTTCAACTGAGAGTTATTAGAAGGGGGGGCTAAGGAAATAAGGTAGTTTGATAGCGCTCCATTGAACTTCTCGTTCTGATTGGCAAATTATGGAACAATTGGTACATTGAATAATTTCTTGATATAGGGTAGACAGCCTGGCTGAAGTTATTAGACAGTCATTAGAGTATTTTCTGTTAAATTGAACGAAATATTTTTTTACCTGTGATGACATTATAATACACAACACATACAAGAGGAAGTCGTCCAATTAGTACGTACTCAAAATTATTCGAATTTCAGACATCTCTCTCTCCACCTTCCTTTGTACACGAATGTACCATATTTCGCTAATCGTAAATCTCTCTTTGCTGCTTCAAATCAGCATAACTTGCAGTCTTTAACCTGCTCAGCTTTTATATTTAAATGTTCAATTGATGCTTAGCTTGCGGATTTTTGATCTCAGCCAGTCAGTAAAATATTTACTAGCACAATTCTTCACATGTTGAAAAATGGTATGTTTACTCAGGTAACCGAAAAGGATTTTAAAATGTCATTCGTACGAAGCAAAAGTTTAGCAGCTCTCCTCTGCTCTACGAATTGTACACATTGATCATACACATTGATCATGCACCCTTCTCTTTTTTTGCATGCTTGCCTAATGATGACCTTTCAAGGTAGTTTAAACGGGTCTGTTTGGTTGCCCTAAAATCCCGAAGGTGCCTATGATATAAATGTGTGGGTCAGTATAAGAATGTGCATGGCTGATACGTTTCAGAACAGTGCGCTTTATTCTCGCTAGAAAGTGTGAGGATTTGAAAGTAGGGGCAAGAAGTTGTAAGCATATCTCAAAGATGGCATGTTTCCTATATAAATTTCAATGAAGTAATTGATCATTAACAAGGCAACCGATAATATTCCATAACATTCCGAAGTAGAAGCTTGAAATAAATCACACACCCAAATAAACGACAAATGAAGGAAAGTTTGAGCGACGATTTATTACTGACTAGTGCAACTGTTATCAAGAAAAAATGCATGACGAATAGTAAAACAAAATAAAGGTGAAGCCATTTTTCAAACATTTTGCAGTGTGAAGAAATCTAGAAGAAAACAACTTCTGACCTCCTACTCAAATGCTTATGGAAAAAGTTTACAGTGTACACAATACAACATGAAAGTTAATTTAGTGATGGAATATCTATGGTTGAAAGAAGGGAAACTTTGGACAGTTCAGACGGTTTGTCGAAAGGATGGATTTTTGACGTTAGAGAGACTTCCAGTTTTCAAGAGGCGACTGCAAATTCGGGATAGAATCATGAGCTGAATGATGAGTAATAATCTTATTCGAATGAGTGAATAATGGTGCGAAAGCTGGAGCAAGACAGTAAAACTTATTGCATTCTCTTAACCAACATGCTCTTCAAATTGTACAAAACCTCTAGTCCATTTGACTGATGTGTGTCCTGCCTGGTATGAATTAGAGTGTAAACCATTATCTGCATAATTAATTCAGACACCTAGATCCTAGATTTGGTTTGTTTCAGAAATTTAAAGCAACCAACTAAACATGTATAGCGCACTTAACACTGTGGTGTATATGTTGTGTCTTATGATGTAATCATGTGTAAGACATTTAATCTCAGTTCAATTTACTTAAAAAATCACCTAATAATCATAATATTGCATAATATTGCAGATTGCAATAAACAAAAATAAACGAGCAGAAAAATCTTATTCCAACTGAAGCTAATGAACAAATGCCACCATGCAGCTCAAGTTTGGCGATCTCTGTGTATTGGGTAGTGAAACGTCTTAAACTGCCCTAGGTGTAGATCGATGTTGTGTGAAAACCTGATGCGTAAGTGTAGAAAATTCTCGTAGCACCTGCGCAGCTGACATAAACAATGCCGTTAATGAAAGACATAAAAGTCGGACAACCAGCTAAGACATATAATTCTTTCGGTGTTTTATTTCATCGTGATTGTAATAAGTAATGTATTTATCTATTATGGGCCGGAAAATTTCCTTTTGAATACACTGTTCTGTTTTTTTCTCGCGACACCTTTCTTTCGTTTAGCAACTTTCCATAGGCCTAGACCGCCTAGTTGGCTATTTTTCACGCTTATCGTTCTGTATTAGCTTACTTTCAAAAATATGTAAATGGATCCTTTTCAATTGTTTCGGTGTTGCCATGTTTTTAGTGGCTCAATCTTCTCTTTACGGGTGATGTAATGAACGCCTACCTGATCTGATTTTCACGTTGATGTTGTCAAATCATTCATCAGTGACATCTCTTGACTCTCGTCATCATAATGCAAGAAGGCTCTTGCTGTTTATTTCTTCAACAACATTCTTATTGCTGATCCTCAGCGAGGTTGGACGGCAAGTTGCAACGTTGGTCTTCAATTCTCTTGGACTGATAGAAAATTATCGTTTCAAAGAGTTGATTCTCGTCGGCTTTTTTAATAATTTCAGGATCACATCTTTGATCGTTCAGACGATGTTGCTGTAGGGAGAAGTATGATGGTTGTTTAAAAATAAATATGAAATATATTTATTACGGTATACGATGTATTCAAATACAATATACTGGCTTAAAACTTCTGATTTGCACATGGACATATTTTCAAAGTTTTTCTCAATATTAGACACATACATGCATTTCTCTATGGCTCTCAAGTCAGATTACAAAACATCGCTAAATATCGCAACACAATTACTTTCATTTCCATATGTACTAGTCGTGAGCTACAAATGTAGTACGTAGACACATGTACTAACTGGATATATATACTTACTTGTAACTTTTGGATCAGTGAAAACATTTGTTTGACGTTTCTTTTATTTGCACAGAAAATCTCCATTTCGCCCTGTTTAACAGTTCCACTAACTCTTCTGGAGTATCTCGTCTCTTGTTTTACAAAGACTTGCGCAGCTTCAAATGAACTGATGAAAATGTGATTTCTCGGTGCTTTTATAAGATGTTCTCACGTGTAATTTAATCAAGCCATTATCATTTGTTTTCAAGATGGTTGAATGTTTATAAATTTTATTGTGATTAATTGATTTGGTGTGGTTGATAAAACAAATGTTGAGAAAGTTGTTACAATGACATGTGAGACATGCACGTGAATGAATGTGATAAAAAAAACCAATTTAGTTCATCACAAATTGTGACTTTACACTTTACCAGGCTTTTTGTCACCATAATAAAATTTACATGCTTTTAATCCACTATACATAATTAAATGAAATATTCCAAACAATTTTTGATCAATGTTTTTTTTAATGGAGACGGTTTCAGCACATATTGTTTAGCATTGTGCACAGCAGATGTATTTTAGTTTATTTTTTCATTGATTTTGACAAAAAAGAGAGTATTTTAAACGCATTTTTGCAATAAAACAATCAACTTTAGCTGGTGCATATAGATCTTAATTGGTTTTGGATGATTTGGAAGACTTAAACGAAAATCAATTAATTTTAAATGTACGTTGTGTTTAGGTTTTTCTTGTCATAGTAAAGGTGTATGCCTCTGGTCAAAACACTAAATGGCATACATTGAACATTATAAATAAGGATAGACCACAAAATTTTATGGAAGTGTTTTGCTTCATCATCCCGATGACACCAAGCCTTCAATAAAAATAGTAGGAGCAAACAGACCACATGTAGATATTCCAATAGTAAACTTTAATCGTTCACTTTCCTGATTGGCTGTTCCTAATTTCGGAACGATTATCATGCACTGCAATTTAGATAATAAAGTTCTACAGTTTGAAAAATACAATAATTGAGCTGGACTAATTTCGCCATGCAACTTAAGTAAAATTAGTAAAAACTCCTTGATTTTAGGTAGAGAAAAATCTTAAATTGCTCTAGGTGTAGACATATGTTGTATAAAAACCAGATGCGCAAATATAGAAAGTTTTCGTAGCACCGGCGCAGCTGATATAAACAATGCCGTGATCGAATGATTGAAAGTTTGATGAAGCGCTAAATATACGAATAGCCATTGGAGTTGATTGCCTTTTGAAATTTGATTCACAAAAGTTGAAAACGACCAAGAATTATCGCACACTCTAGAAATTTGTTTAAGACACCCATATCAAAGCCTCGTGTATACGTCGTTCTACATGTTTTTTCAGATAAATTTCGACTAGCCTTTCAAGACGTAAAAATGACGTAAAAATGGCTTGTAATTTATACTTATAAGCATCTCTAGGGTTATCTATGGCATATTAAGCAATTTACGCCATTTTAACAAAATCGGACAAGTCATGTTGGATAATTTCTGCATAACTCAGCATTTACATGATGGTTCATCCGACCAAACACAAAAGACTATTGCATGAAAAAAGAAAAATTGTTTCGTTGTTTTATTTTATCGATGTTATAAATTTAATCCAATACATTTATAAATTTTTGCTAAATTTCCCTTTTGTACAGTTTTTAAAGCACATTTCCCCCCTTTTACTGTTATTTGTTGTCATTTTCCACGCTTTCAGTTCAAATTGGCTTTCCTTCAACGATGTGAAAATGGCAATCCTATTCAATTGTTTCGGTGTTGCCATGTCTCAGCAGCTCAATCTTCTCTTTACGGGTGATGTACAGAACGTCTACCTGATATTCACGTTGATGTTGTCAAATCATTCATCAGTGACATCTTGACACTTGTCATCAAAATGCAAGAAGACAAACAATTAGCTCTTGCTGTTTATTTCTTTAACAACATTCTTATTACTGATCCTTAGTGAGGTTGGACGGCATATTGCAACGTTGGTCTTCAATTCTCTTGGACTGATAGTAATTTATCGTTTCAAGCAGCTGCTCGTCTGCTTTTTTAATAATTCCAGGATCGCATCTTTGATCGTTGAGACGATGCCGCTTTGGGGAAAAAATGTTTGTTTAGAAAACAAATATGAGACATATTTATCACGGTAGTCAAGAACAACATGTATTCAAGTACAACATGCTGGCCTAATATTTTTTCTAATTTACATAGACTTGAGTTCGTCAAATATGAGGCATAAAAACTTGTAGTTGCATGCTTCTCAATTTATGCAGATCACAAAATATTTAAATCACAAAAGAATGGCACACAATTTAAGCCATTTCCATATAAAAGCCACAGTGTTGTGTATAATTTATTTACTAGACTCATGCATGTACTAACAGGAAATAAATACTTACTTGTAACTTTTGGATCAATGAAAACATTTGTTTGACGTTAGCGTTGTTTGCACTGAAAATCCCCATTTTGCTCTTTTTCAAAGTTCTACTAATCTGCTAGAGTATCGTTAAAGATTTATCATTTCTCTTTTTACAAAATACTAGCGTCGCTTAAGTGATCTGGTGAAAATGTGATTTGCCCGTGCTTTTATATTACGCTCTCACGTTTAAGTTAATCAAGTTCATTATCATTTGTTTTTAAATGCGTAGAATGTTTGACTTTTTGTGGTTTAATGTGGTTGATAACACGAATGTTGTGAAAGTTGTTACATGTGAGACATGCACGTGAATTTATCTCACAAACTACCAATTTAGTTTATCACAAAATTCCGAATGTAAGTTGTGTACCAGGGCTTTACGTCGCCATGGTAATGATACATGCCTTTAATCCAAAAAACACTTAAGTGGAAGATTCCGGGCAGCAAATTATTTGTTTGATTACTTTTTTGTTTATTCATAAATAAAATCCGCATTCATAGAATCATATTGTGACATAATCCGTGCTAAAGGAGGCCATAAACATGGAAGTCTATTTCCTAATGCACAGTCAGTTACAGTGGCGAAGCCAGGATTTTCTATGATAGCGTTTTTATTGAAAATAAAGTATGATATTTCGCATCTGTTTCGATTTTCTTTATCATGAGACAATGTGTAGTGTGGCACTCGTTTTCCTGTACCCTTATCTTAGTTCACTGGGTTGTGTGAATATTTTTACATGAAAGATATTTAAAAGGGAAGTGTTGCATTACATATGATGTCTTTAATAGAATATCCCCCAAGACTAACTTTAATTAATAATAAAGAGAAGCGTCGTGCGTAACTTGTCCAGATATATGGAGTGATTTCATGGATTAAAAAATTCCACTTTTGTAGGTCTTATCCTGTATTTCAAAAAAGCTTGAGTCAAACGATAAAATACTTAAAAATCTGAAAGCAGTATGTCAAATTTACAGCAATACATGGCATACCAATTGCCGTTTTGATAATTATAAGTTTAGGTGCGAATAACTTGTTTTGTTTTACATTTGTTTTATTGATCTGCAGTGCGCATGCCTGTGCAAAATTTTGTGTTAAATTAATTTTATCAAAGCCTCCAAATGTTGCTTACTGAACAGTCAGCATTCACCATGACACAGGCTTTTAGTTAAAGAGAAAACACGAGCAGACGTTGCACATGTGTATATTTTAATAATTAACTTTCATCATTCTCATTCCTGATTGGCTATTACTAATTTCGAAACGATTTTCGCGCAATACAATTTAGATTAATGGGCTGAAAAACAGTTTGCATCAAAAGAGAATTGATTAATTTCACCAGGTAGCTCATGGAAAATTTGTATGAATCCCTTGTTTCGGGTGGAGAATGGTCTTAAATTGCTGTACGTGTAAGTTGATGTTTTATATGAAAACCTGATGTTCAAATATGGTAAATTCTTACAGCACGTATGCAGCTGACATAAACAATGCCTTAAGGAGTGATGAAAAGATATAAAAATCGCTGGAATATACAAGTTGCTATTGGAGTTGATTGGCTTTTGAAATTTGAATTGATCTACATAGCAAAGAATTATGTTACTATCCGAAAATTGATTTAAAAAAATACTTCAAAACGTCGTGCATGTCCTTGTACATGTTAAAATCTGAGATATTTAGCAAACGCCACGTGCGGTCTAAAAATTAAGCTGCCGCGAAAATTACGCAAAAGCTGCGTGGAAATTTATACTTGAGCATATGCAAGGCTATCTAGAGCAATTAAGCCATTTACACCATTATATAACGACATCTTAAATGGCACGTGGTGTTGGATGATTTTCTCCATCATAACGACATTTTGTATTCTGTATACGATGGTTTATCTGACCCGTATTCTCAAACCAGACACATAAGACCAGCATACTGTTTGGTTGGTTTATTTTATTATGATTACAAATTTATAATAAGCAATGCATATATTTAAAATGTAAATTTAAATTTCTGTTCCCAACACTGTTCTGTACAGCTTTTGCGACACCTTTTTCTTCAACAACTATGGGTGGTCATTTTTCACACTTTCAGTTTTATATTGGCATTCCAAGATTTGTAATATGGGACAATCTCTTTGGAGTAACTGATTTTAGCGTTACCACATCTTAGCAGCTCAATCCTCTCTTTACAGGTGATGTACTAAACGTCTACCTGATATAAGTAAGTTTGTTCATTGACATCTCTGACTATTGTGGTCAAAATGTGACGAGGCAAATGATTAACCTTAGCTGTTTATATCTCTTTAATAACATTCTTAGAGCTGATCCTTTGCTACGTTGGACGACATGTTGCAACGTTGGTCTTCCATTCTCTTGGATTGATAGTAAATAATCCTTTTGAAGAGTCGATTCTCGTCTGCTTTTTTAATAATTTCAGGATCACACCTTTGATCCTTGAGACGATGCTTCTGTAGAGAAAAATAAGTTTGTTTAGAAAACAAGTATGACATATTTATTACAGTATTCAAGTACAATGTGCTGGCCTATTAATTTTCTGATTTTGCCCGTAGATTTCAGTTCAAAAATAGGGCATATATACGTGCAATTGCATTGTTCTCAAGTCATACAGATTATAAAACCTACATCACACAAGAATTGCTCACAACTTAATCCATTCCATGTATAATACCATGGTTGCCTCAAGTTCGATTGTTCTAGTAAGTCGAATTAATAACGTATTTACTTAATTAGAATTCACTATTTAAATTCAAAGGTCGTATGACAAGTATTGCGACCTTACACGACGTCTTTAAAGTAGTATCACTAAAAATCCCAAATTTTGAGCTTGAAATAGTAGAAATCACCTCAAAGTGTTCCGCAAAACACAAAAACATCTAATTTACACCATCGTTGATGGAGTGTTAAGCACTGACTAAGGCTGCGTTTACACTATACCGAATTTGCTCATCACGACATCTTCATTTCCTTTAAAGGGGTAACTGTACGGAGTAAAAGCTTATTAAGCTGATAGATTCAGTCCATTTGATTGTGTTTCTGACGTTGAACATCTTCACTGCCTTTCAATATAAATAATATTCAACCTGCTACGATAGCAATCCGGTATAGTGCAAACAGGGCCTAAAACGTTTTGGCAATCGTAGTATTACAAAGTAGACTTTCAAGTACATTAAATGTAGCCTCACTATACAATGATTTTACACTTTTACTTATAATAAGCCATTGTGTAATGAATAATTTATGTGCCAGACTCATGCATGTACTTACAACAAATATATACTTACTTGCAATTTTTGGATCAGTGAAAACATTTGTTTGACGTTTCCGTTGTTTCCAGAGAAAATCCCATTTCGCTCTGTTGCACAGCTCCACTAACTCTTCTTAGTATCGGTAAAGATATATTGTTTGTTGTCAGACTGGCGTAGCTAAGTGAACTGATGAAAATGTGATTATTCCGTGCTTTGATACGACGCTCTCACGTGTATTTTAACCAAGTTCATTATCATTTGTTTTCAATGCGTAGAATGTTTGACTTTTTGTGGTTTAATGTGGTTGATAACACGAATGTTGTGAAAGTTGTTACATGTGAGACATGCACGTGAATTTATCTCACAAACTACCAATTTAGTTCATCATAAAGTTGTGAATGTACGTTGTGTACCAGGGTTTTTTGTTGCCATGGTAATGATACATGCCTTTAATCCACAAAACACATAAATGGAATATTCCAGACGGCAAATTTTGATCGATTAGCTTTTTTGCTCATTTATAAATCATATAAATATAATGGTTATCGCTCAGGACATATAGTATTAGTTTAACATTGTGTACAGCAGAGGTCTGTTTTTGTTATTCCAGTAGTTATGTTGTTATATGGAAACTGCTTTTAACTATAATTCATTTTTCATCCTTTTTACAAAAGTGAGTATGTTTTAAACTAAAGGTAATTTTGCTATTCAAGTATTAGACAACGAACGAAGCCATTTTATAGAACTTAATTAATGTGGAAAATTAAAATGACCTGAATAAAGACGATTAGTTGTAATGATGTACGTTGAATCAGAACTTCTGTTGCTAGCTAACGATAAATAGCTATATGCCTTTGATCCAAATAATAAGTGGAATATGATACACAATAGAGAATGTAACTACAATAAAGTATGCTAGTACAATCGTTCCCATGACTTTAAGGCAAACAAAGTTGGAGAGAACGTCGTCTTTAGGATTATTCGTTGTTTGTATTTCGATTTTTATGCATTGGTAAAACCCACATTCCTCATTTCGACAAAAACTATGCCAACAGAGGCATTCAACATAAAAATGTAAGATCACGTGTATGTAATGTTAATTTTTCAAATTGTTAATGCATGATTAATAACTTACACGCTGTTATTGAAAATAAGACATAAAATTTAATTAAAAACTTTACGTCTGAGTTCACAATGTTGACTTATGATAAAGACGATGTGTGTGTAGTGTGGAGTAAAGATTCGTTTTCCTGTACCCTTACCTTGGTTCGCCAGGTTGTGAGAATATTTTCAGATGTAAAATATTCAAAGGGGAACTGTTGCACTACTCGTAATGTTTTTAGAATTTCATGATCTCAAAAAATAACTTAAACAAACAATTACAATTAAGTGTCGCGCGTTCTTTATACGTAATTCGCGTAGAAGATGAAGTTTCAAAATTTCTCTTTTTCCTATCACTTCCTGCAATGCAACGTTTAGGTGAAACGTTTGAAATTCTAACTAACATGTCTTTCCAGTTATTGTATATATGTCTCAAAAAGAAACTACGTAAGACTTTTACATTCTTTAAATAAACCAGAAGTGCGCATGTCCTGGCAAATTTCATTCTACAGTTAATTTTGAAAGAGGTGAACAGTTTGCATGCACCATGACGCAAGCTTTCCGAAGGTAAAAAATAACAGCAGACGGTCCAAATGTATATATTTCAATTGTTAACTTTCATCGTTCCCATTTGCCGATTGGTTGTTTCTCAATCAATGCAATTTAGATGATAAATTTCCAATGCAATAAATGTGTGGAAAAATAAGATTGCATCGAAAGAGAATTGACTTATTTCGTCATTCCGCTTACGTAAAATTTGTATGAGCTCCTTGTTTCGAGAAGAGAAAGGTCTTAAACTACTCTATAGGTTGATGATGTGTGAAAACTCGATGCGAAAATTTACAAAATTCTTAGTTCAGCAGGCGCAGCTAACAAATTTACCTCGATCAACAAGTATATAGAATTCCAATCAAACGCTAAAAATACATATGAAGAGTTATGGAGTTGGTTAGCTATCGAAATTTGATTTAATTTATACCTGACAAAGAATTATATCACTCTCTGGAAATTGATTTTCAGACTTAAATCAATTAACACGTAGCTAGTGCACGTCGTTCTGCATGTTATATCTGAAAAATTTAGCACTCGAAACGAGGCGTGAGTAAAATTGGCTTGGAATTTATCATTTGGGCATATGAAAGGCCATCTATAACAATTTACACCATTATGCAATGACATTTTCAATCGTACGTCGTTTTCAGTTAGATAAATTTCGCTATTACTTAACGACATTTTGTATTCTGTATACGCATGTTTATTAGACACATAATCAGACCAAACATAATACTCGAGCCCTCTGTTCCAGTAAACTATGCTATAGTAAACTATGCATTTATTTTATAATGTAAACTATATAATATCTCTTTCATAAACTGTTTCATATAGCCCTTTTACTCTTTTACTACTATTCATACTTCATTATTCACGCTTATATAGTTCTGTATTGGCTTTCTTTCAACGTTGTGTAAATGGCAAACCTTTTAACTGTCTCGGTGTAGCCATGGCTGAGCAGCTCAATCATCTCTTTACGGTTGATGTACGGAGCGTCTACCTGATATTCACTTTGATATTGCCAAGTTATTCATAAGTGGCATCTCTTGACTCTTGCATGTCATCAAAACGTAAGAAGGCAAAGAGTCTTGCATTTTATCTTTTAATAAAATACTTATTGCTGATACTTAGCGAGGTTGGACGGCATGTTGCAACGTTGGTCCTCCATTCTCTTGGACTGATAAAAAATTATCGTTTCAAAGAGTTGATTCTCGTCTGCTCTTTTAATAATTTCAGGATCACATCTTTGATCATTCAGACGATGTTGCTGTAGGGAAAAATATGTTGGTTGTTTAAAAATAAATATGAGATATATTGTTTCTTATGGTATTCAAATACAACATGCTTGCTAAATAACTTTTTCTGATTTGCACATGGACATATTCACTGTCACAGTAATATTAGACACATACATGCAGTTGTGTACGGCTCTCAAGTCAGATTACAAAACATCGCAAAAGATTGTAACACAATTTCTTTCATTTCCATTTATACTGGCTATGTTTAACGAATTATGCAGTAGACACATGAACTAGCAGGAGGTATAAACTTACTTGAACTTTTTGGATGAGTGAAAACATTTGTTTGACGTTTCCTTTATTTCCACAGAAAATCCCCATTTTTCTCTGAATCACAGTTTCACAAAATCTTCTAGACTTTCGATTAAGATTTGTCGTTTCTTGTCTTACAACGACTTGTGTAGCTTAAACACTAAAGTGAACTGATGAAAATGTGATTTGCCTGTGGCTTTATATATTGCTCTCACGTGTGAGCTAATCAAGTCCATTATACTTGTTTTCGAAATTGTAGAATGTTTATTTTTATTGTGATTATTGATGTGGTGTGGCTGATAACACGAATGTTGTGAAAGTTGTTACATGTGAGATATGCACGTGAATGTATCTGACAAATCCCATCGTAATGGATGCCATCGTAATCATATGTCTTTAACATAAACACCAAAATATGGAATGTTCTAGCGAGCAAATTTTGATCGGTTGGTTTTTAACTCGTCCATATATAGCTATTAGAGAGTGTTTAAAGGACGTATTTTTAACATTCTCTACACTCTCAACAGCATGTGTCTTTTTATTATTTTATATCATGCTGTTAAGAACTGCTTTTGTCTATGGTATTTCTTGTAGCCAAATTAAGAATATACGTAGTTTTCTAACTGAACAACAAGCTTTATAACCGTGTTGCTTGTACTATTAGTTGATTTGGTTTGATGAAAAACATCGTTTTTGAAACTCTTGCATATTGAGCATATATACATGAGGACCACCGGTACTACTTGAAACGTCATTAAAAGAGCATTGTGAAACATGTTCTACTAAAATGTAACTGTGCATATTTTGACTCGAATTGTTTAAAACAATGCCCTTACTGGCTTTACATATATATTAGTTAATTTCTTTGATTTGCACGCACATATTCTCAGCAATTTTGAAGATAGTATAATCAATTCACCGTCGTGACGGTCATGTCATACATAGAATATTTCCTCTCCCAAAATAACTTAGAATGGTACGGCTATTTAAGTTTATTGAGTTTCTCGTTACATATTTTTTCCAGACATGGAGTGTCTTTGGAATTTGCGCAAAATTTGTAATTTTTATCATATTCTTAAAAGTGATGCGTGGGTGAGGCGGTAAATGGGTAAAAATGCCAGAAATTGCTTTAAGCGTATGATATATTTTTTCTTAACGGTCAAGGATTTTTTGTGATTTTTTTTTAATGGATATATCCTAGATGACAATTCTTCGACAATTTTATCACAATGTCAAGCCAATCATATGAAGGCAAAACATGCCAAATTCCGAACTCGACAAACAACTGAAACAAGAATTGAGGTTTGTACAAATAACGGCAGCAAAAAAAACAACAAAATTTATTTTGTCTGTAAAGGTGATCCAACAATCAACTTTACTGTGCCGCTTTACCTGTAGCCACCGTGATATGTTTTTATCATTGACGTTTTACCTGTAGCCACCGTGATATGTTTTTATCATTGACGTTTTCCGTATCAGAATCATTGTTCTGATTTCAAAAGCTGATAGTTTCCGCTAATTTGAAGCTTTTAGTTTTTTCTGGAATTATGAATGTGAACGTTCCTTGACTTCAATGACAACATCTCCGAGTGAATCGCACGATAAAAAATAGTATCAATACGTTTCAAAACAAATATAGACAGACCAGATGTCTTTACGCAAATTTCCAACTGTTAAAGAGAAAAGAATCGGTGGGATGTGGTAGTGACATAACTCTACGTAACTTTAGTATTTGGAGGTACTGTCAATTGTTATGAATTCTTTGTTATGAATTCTGTCCCAATTATGAAACTTTTTAAGATATTCTGACACTAATTTAAGACAAAGTCACAAATTCATAGTTATTTATTTTATCACATGCAGGGCGTATTACAATTGTTACGCAGGCAAGAATAGCGTTGCAAAAAAACTTCACATGCAGGTCGTTTTACAATTGTTACGCATGCATGCCATTCTTGCATGGCAAAAAAACTTGCTTATTTAAAAAATATTGAAGATTTGAACATATTCGTTGCAGTTATTACAATGCAAGTGAAGTTAAGATTGACTGTTTTTGTTTTCCAAACTCGAGGATTTTGTGCTGTTGCTGAAGCAATTCATCTCCAAGTAATATATTTTAAAACGAAGTGTTTTATAACCGACATGAAAAAAACATAATCATTGTGGTTGTGATATTTGTGTCAGACATTTGAGTGATCACAATGGGATCCATGTTAGCATGCATAGATCGATTTTTGTAGGGGATTTTAATTTGGAAAACAGGGCATTATCTTTTCATTATAAGTAGAGCATGGTTTTAAGCTCGCAATGGAAATGTTTCTAGCAATTTTTGGTGTCTACGTTAGCGATGATGTGCGTAAAAAACAAATTACGCAATTGATTATTCAAATTAAATTATACCTACGTTCAGTTCAGCGAGACATCTGTTTTCTTATTCTTAAGTATATGATCATCAAAATAAAAATCATGTAACTGTATAGTTATATAACGACAACCAACAAAGAACTATAATTACGAAAGGTTTAGAGCGAGGAGCAAAATGACCATATTATTGTGTACATGTATTAGTGTTAAAGTGTAGGCTAAATATAGCACGGAACTGTGTTAATTCGTAGGTATTTGAAACTTCTTTCCACTTGATTTGAGTGGAGAGAGTAGTTTTCTTGATTTTATTAAGGAAAATCTTTACTCATATTCGATTGTACCCTGCACTGATATTTTGCACTTGCTATTTGGACTGAAGATGATGTCTCAGCTCTCAAATCTTTTATAGTCGATGTTGAAGTTTTTTATCCTACTTTGTGTCAAATGCAAAGACATTTGCATCAAATTCAAAGAGACTTGTTTTCGAATGTCCTCTTGTTAACTGTCATTTACAATCATTCCATTGCTAACTGTCATTTACCATCATTCCATTCCTGTGCCGAGACATCAACAACTCCGAATTCAACGAGGTTAAAAGAAGTTCAATTAACTGTACTTATTATTACCTGAAACAGTTAGTTATTTTTGGCAACAGAGATTCAAATAGACCAAAAATCTTTACAGTGAGAACAACTTCCTGAGATTTTAACATCAAAATTTTACGCAACATTTGCAAAGGTAATAACAACAAGGGCATCAAGAAGGAGAAAATAAGGGATATGTGAGATAGTAACCGTCGTACATTTGCTGGATTGTTGAAAAACGAATTAGCAAAATACGACAAATAAAACCTCCAGTAAAAAAGAAACTCACACACACTTACCTGGAAAAAATAGTAAGAATTTATTAGAACAGTGAACTTTGACGACTAAAGGAGTACATGATCAGAAAAAAGACAAAATGCACTCAACAAATATCAAAAAAATCCTACATCATTTGAGCAATTGGGATATAAATAGTACAAAACAAGTGGGATTAAAGCGCTTAGTGAAAGGGTCCAAGTTCCAGTCAATCTCTTCCTGTGGAAGAGGCTTACAATATACTAAAAAATTTCAAACCTTTCAAGATTTGACTTCCTGTATATTGATTCCCCATTGGCTAAAGATTTGAAGACGATTTCTTCCACAGTTTTTAGGGAAAGCAAGACAAACGGCAGTTTTCTCGTTCAGACTTTTCAACAATAATCGCTTTTATGTTGATTCATATGAGCAAGATAATATAGTCTGGATTTTCTTAGGATCTCCAATATACGTAAGAAAAGCTATATAAATATCTACTTTGTCCTTACAAATATTTATCTGCTTTCTTCATTAATAAAATGCAATCTATTCGAGTAGGAATTGACAAATTTGAACGCCTGGATGGTGAATCCTCAAAAGAACAAAATTTGACGTAGTACTTTTCTTAATGGTGACTATTGACCTCCTTACAGATGGGAGAATGACGAATAAATGACGTAGACAATACTGCAAGACTAGAAACAACTCTGCGATACCAAATAAGTGTGACCAGCTCTATTAATTCAGTGCAGCTATATATAGTGCAGAAAGTACAACGATATGAAACATATTCAAGCAAAAATGCAAAGAGATGTTGGTTAACCTTTTTGAGTTTAATGCAACGTAACTGAGGCATTTAAATATAACTATTGTTACCATTGAGAAAATATAGCGAATATTAAAGAGGGTTGGAGTCCAAATTGATGGCACTTTAAAGATCTAGCTACCGTACAATTATGCGGTAAATATGCTGTGCCAGCTTGGCAGATTATACGTGGTGTACGAAATTATAAATTACACTGTGCAAATACCAATAATCAAAATTCAAAGCTAATTGGATGAATACTATGTATGCTATAACAGCTATGTAAATTGGTAGAGTTTTACTGCAGTTAACATGTATTTCAACAAATCATTTAACTAATGGACAATATATTAATCCATATACATTTAAACAGACATCACCATAACACGACGTCCCAAAATTTCACCTGTCCTATTTACAAGTCATAAAGGAAGAAAAACCTATATATATATAAGATAAATACAATAGCAAGTTCTCACGACTTTAAATCAGTATTATTATTTAAACTTCAATTTTTAACAATTTATAGTATTCTGATTCAGACATCTAAACTTTGAATAGAAGTGTAGAACAGTCCTTAAAATTTAGTTTCTCAGCTCATTATTATTAAATCCGTGATTTCATGCACTTGCAATGTTATACATTTGTTTCAAAAACAACTGCACCATTTAACTCTCTGCTTTCCAACATTTGTACTACCTTGCGCCAAATGGTGGTTGAATTTTTACTACTACGTCTTTTGAAGGAACTCGTAAACGAGAACCGCAATGAATACGAACTCCTCCCTACTTTGGACTTCGAGCAAAACGACTTGATGCAAGTGAAGTTGCAGCTGCCAAATATAAATGGGTTCATCATAGAATTAGAATACACTAAAATGTTTGCGAACTCTTGGAATTGTTTCTCGTGAGGAAATTCGGCCTCTCCCCATCCTTTATATAACCAGTACACGTCACCGGGTAACATGCAGATTACAAACATTAGAACAGCAAAGCCGAAAATCTTGATGATACGTTTATTACGTTTTAGACGGTACATGTGTGCTTCGCGTCCACAAACGCCCCTTTGCTGGCTGGCGTTCAACGCTGAGTTGCTTTTGTGCAATTTCAGACCTACTCTTACGTAACAGTAGCTAATTATCGTCAAAGGGATGCAATAGTCTATAACAAAAAGTGCAAGAGTGTAATAATTTGCGTCATTTGGACCAGACCAGACCTCGTTACAGCTGCGATTATCGTACGTCAGAGCTTTAACATATGGCGAGACAACAGCCAATCCCAGTAACCAAATTGCGATAATGCACTTGAATATTTCCATCTTCTTCAGCTTCGGTTTGAATGGCGTAATTATGGCACGGTAACGCTCAACTGCCATTGCAGTCAACGTCATAATGGAGACCAATACGAGCAAAGTTTGCGATGGCCATATTATTTTGCACAAAACGGAACCGTACGGAAATGTCTCTTCGTTAAGATAATCGTACATGTCCAACGGTATGCTAACTCCACACACTAAGAGGTCAGTGATGACCAGATTTAAAACAAACATTTCGCTTGACTTTCTACGATGTCCCGCCAAGGTTGTGCACATCAATATGTTACCAATGACACCAATGAAGCAAATCAAGCTCATACATACCAACTTAACAGCTATCAAAGAATCATGAGCAGTTGTGTTTTGATGGTTGCTCCGATCGGGGCTGTCTACAGTTGGCGACAGTGTCATATTTTGAAAGGATTTCATCCTCTTTAAACCCAGTCTTTAAAATGCACAATTTGTAAAGATGGTCTAGAAAAACATCAAATGTAATGAGATTTTCAATCATGTTAGCTTCTTGCAATAATTTCATAACTATTTTTTGTTGTGGTAAAGCTGTTAGTGAGAGATAATGGTAGCGTTGCGTACGGTTTAGTCTGGTCTAACTACACTCATACACTACGCGTTGGTGTATTGGTCTTAAACATACGACAGTAAAATTGAAAGTTTCGCACACATCTGCCTCGGTACGGAACATTTTACAAGAAATAAAGTGCACTTTTACTGTCCTTGAAGAAAGCATTAGGTGTGGATTGCTTTAGAACAATATAAGAAAGTTATGTACGACTGTATGACTTTGTCGACTTTCATGTAATCGCTATGAAAGTGTAAAAATGAAATGAACGTTCATTCACTCAAACTTGCCGAAAACTGGACTGATGCAAACTGTTCTACGTAAATATTTATCGAACATCGTTACATTTTACTACTCGTTTCCTTATTATTTAATTAGGTGGAATTTAGCGCTAAAAATATTGCAAACAAAGCATTTTGTTCTTCTGAACACATGAACTTCACATATGTGTCAGAAGAATCAAAGAAAAACAACATAACCGAAACAAAGTGAGTAAATCATGAGTGATTTCGTAATTTATATGTTGTATACTGCATAGTAATAATAAAAGAATGTTATGCATGAATGACGTAATTGTGTCGTGCCAAATGTCCTTATTATGTATCCGCTACGTAAGTGCGCATACAAATTAACGTTTATCGACGCAATTTTAGAGAAAGTTGTAGCTATTCGTCAAAAAAAACAAACTGCTTAGCCTTTGATAAGCACTTCTCGAAATGAGTTTTAGCTTAGCATTTTTTGAAACGCCAAGGTTTGATACTAAGATTTCTTGAAACTAATTTTATTTGCCATGATTAGGAACATTTTTTCTAAGAAACTGCACTATCCTTGGATCCCTAGATTACTATTACTATTACAGCAAGGATCTTGAGTGCTTAGAATAGCAGCTAAATCAATGTATTCAAATGGATCGATACGACTGGGCTTAATTCTTTGGCCGCCATATTTTTTAACCCAAATAACGTAATAGGTTATAAAAGTAAAGGACACAACGTGTGCATGTTTTTCGTGAAAATTCGATTTTCATGAAAGAAAGGGTCAAAAAATGATTACGCAAGGCAGTACTATGACTTCTTAATTTTTCGGTTAAGGTACACACAACGATTTGTCGGGCAGACACTGACGCCATATTACGTGTTCTTGCCATATATGAAACATTTGTCGTGTAAGACAAATCGCTGTGTGTAAATAATGCATTCGATGTATTTACGCGATTTCAAAAAAGAAAACAAATATGTCGAAAAACAATAGCAAAGCGAAATCAAAACTTCTCATTGTAGCTACGGAGGCAATGTATAATTATTATTATTGCCTCAAAAAATAAAGAAAAAAAGAAAACAAATGTAAAGATCGGTGTGGGTGAAGTGCAAATCGATTTAAATTTTGCCGAGTTTCTTTTTTCAAGAAAATATACTTGATTTTTCCCTTCTTCTGAATCTCTGCAGCTTTTAGCTTTTCAATAAAATTAGCGACGCTTTCTTTTTCCGTTTTGACAGAAGACACTTCGATGATTTTTCGATAATCATAATTTGCTTGTTTATGAAGCCATAGCAATACAGTAAAAATTGGGAACAAATCTGTAGCTTGTTACAGATTTTCATCCGATTTTTTGAGTCGGGCGACTTTCCAAAGATGGAAAGAACACGTAATATAGCGTGTCGGCCCGACAAATCGTTGTGTGTAAACGTACCTTTAGCTTATTTGTATTTGGAGAAAGTCGAGTAGGGGAAATCATTGTAATGAAATGGCAAGATTGCAATTTTAATTTCAGGCATTAATCTTAAATTTAGTAACAGACATTCATGCATATTTTTGATATAGTATTTTTAAAACAATACAACTTACGATACGTTGCTTTCTCAAGAACTTCATGTCGAAAACTCGTTGTTTTGAAGAGCGCTTGGTAATATATGTAAACAAAAAGCGTTTTAGTGTGTGCGATCAAATCGGTCGTTGACACTTCAAGGCATGTGGTGTTTGTACTAAGTTTGTTGCATGTGTTCGTCGTGCTTCTTCCCGAGACACAAAAAAGAAAGACCACCAAACACCCCGTTCTTTATGGCATCTGTAGTAAGTTAATTGGACTTCTGTTTGTGCTGTTTTGATACACGGTTAGCTGTTTAAACGAAACACATGTCGTACGTTTCGAGGCGCTATGTGCATTTATACAGGCATCTAATTAGGACGAGTTTGATGAATTATATCATGATCATGCTGAGATTCTTAAATTCAAAGCAATTTTTCCCATCTCATAATTTTATTTTATTTTCTCTTCGTCGTTAAAATCATGTTTATTGATATCTATCGTTAGGAAAATAAAGCATTCTTCATGCGAAATGACCAAAAAAGTAATTGTACGTTTGTTTGAGCCTTTTAACCCCGCATAGATTTACATAAGCATACAAATTCTTTTTCATTCAAGAATGTTGAAATACTGTTTTGTGAACCATGTGTTAGATTCAACTTTGATGGATTCAGAGATATAGGTCTTTATCAGCAGATTTTTTTAAATTCATACAGACATAACTAATTCCTAATTCAATTATTAGTATAGTGTGTTTGCAAATGACGTCATAGGACAAAGGCTGATGTTCAAGTGTTGCTCATCATGCACATTTAATATTAAACGAAATTACATTTCAGCGAATAAGCATATTGCTCATGGAAGACAAAATAGATGTTGCAGCTGGTTTTCTTGCTGCAAATGCGTTTTGTCCTAACTGCAAATGGCTGAGTTTAATTCAAGCTGTCAATGTCGCGGTGAAGATCGAGACTTAACGAAGAAAAACTGATGTATTAGGATTACTCGGCTGTGTTTCAATTGCACACAAAATGGAGGCTTGCATGCATACAGACTTTGCAATTTTTTGCTTTCTTACTAATAATAAGAAATCTAATCTTCTCCATTCTGTACTAATCGAAGTTGCCCCCACCCACAATTAACACAGGATTGACGCCAATATCCAAGAAGAAGAAAACCTACAAACGTGCTTAATTCTACACAGCGCTTTGTTTGGGAGCGTTGATTCTGGCTTGGCATTGTGGTCCAAGAGAGTGAAAACCTACTAACTTGTTTAATTCTACAAATCTTGCCATCTCAGCTGGAGATGTGCAAATTTTTTTAACGTAATTAATAAGATTTTGAAGTGATTTTGTGACAATATGTCAGCAGCAGTAACCTACAAAATATGGGTGGCCATCACATCATCAACGTTAAAAGGCTGTATTCAAACTAGATAATTTTGAAATGGTCGTTCTTTAGTAATTAAAGCCTTTCACATTTCATAATGATTCAATAGTCAGAATATAATCCTTCTACAGAGCAGCAATATAGTTTTCTCAATACATCAAAAAAGGACGCACTTGTTAATTAACTCCAAAGACAGCGTCAGTCTAGAAGCTGTTATCTCCGCAAAACGGAGTCCAATCTTGCAGCACAACGTGTTCAATCGATGCTAGAAACGCCAAATGCAATTCAATATTCTTTTAAAATGTCTCGCAAAAGAAAATTTACTGGTTGTGTGGCATTTTTTCCCCCCAGATAACTGGAGATTGTGGGTGTATTTAATAGTATTAGAATACAAGATTCAAGAAGCCAGACAGTCCTTACCATGTATGTCATTTAATGTGGTCATGGCACAACCTAAAGTTATCTACTGCTTGCCAAAAATGGCATTACTTTGATACATCTATTATTAAAGCACAGTTTCCGACAGTCTCTATCTCGAAAATCTATTGGTCTGTTGGCACCACACGTTTTATTACTGCAGACTAGAAAGGAGGAGATACAGGTCTGCCAAAAATAGCTCAATACCTTAAAGAATTGTATCAACTTATGCATTCGTATATCATGCATGTATACGAGCACTTTGGTATAAACAGGTGCTCGTGCAGGGCATAAGGTATTATGCAAATAAGATTAGAAGAAATTTGACATGTGGCATCCAGTATTTAGTTCTATATCGGAATCCCACAGTCCAAGTTACCATTTGGATATCAACGATAAAAAGCAGCGGCGGCTATTTTAGGGCTTCAAACGAAAGAACTTAATCTTAAGCTTAATTGGTTCATCAACATGGTGGCTATGAACTCTGGTGAAAACGCTTGACAGGTTTCAGCAAAAAGTGTCACTGTAGAGTGTGTATAAAAGGAGAGAGAGATCACAAGAGAGATAAACTTTTCTGTTTTTGTAGGCAAGCGCATTAGCATCCTTCCTGTAAACGTCAAAGAGTAAATCATATGGTGGGCGTTAACGGGCCGTGTTTGTATTTCAAAACAGTAGAATACATGGTTGTAATGGTATATCTAAGATTGCAGAACATTAATACTACTAAAAATATTATTTCTGCCTGATGGAAATATAGGTGAACACTACTATTACACGATTAAACTTAATGTCATGCGTGATAGAAGAAAATATTACTCGTAGAAGCACTATCGCTAATGCGCATTTTATGTAGACCACAAATTTTTTGAAAATAGACATGTTTCGACATCTCATGATGCCATCTTCAGTATAAATGAATAATCCAAAAAATGAATAATTCAAAAATGAATAATTCAAAAATTTGTGGTCTACATTAAATGCACAAAATATTATTCCTTTGCACTGTTGTCCAAAGTTGATTAACAAAATTGTTTTGTCGTTGAAACGTAAAAATGTCTATTAGAATGATTGAAATGATTTCTTATTGTATTTTGATTATTGTGTAAAGTTTGTTAACACAGTCAGCCTATGTATAGTTGAGGGAGTGCACATTAAACATTGTATGGAACAACACGTAGAATTTCTTTTGACCATAATGTATGACTTTTAAAATTCGGGACTTATATATACACATATGTAGAATAAGTTAGAGTAATGCGCAGTCAACGTGCACACACACATACCAGTGACTATTCAGCATTTTTTTTTATCAGAACAGCATCTACACTGCAATTTGTTTTGATGGGAATAAATCGTATGTGCAACATTCAAACATGGAAGACTAAAAAACACTGAAATGAGTAAATATACGCATGCAAGACAAGAGTTTAGTCATATTCTTCAATATATATATGTGCAGGCTACAATTAAGTTTCAAATTCTACCGCTGATTTGGTCGCCCTCTACATTACCTCTGCTCTTTTTCATACCACTTCTGTAAAAAGGTATATTTAGAATTTGAAATTGAATTTCGACTGAAATAACGGTGCATGGATCTGGCACAGGTCACTTACGATGACATTTTATGTCGTATTTCATAGCTATTTGTTTTTTTATTATTTCAACGTGAAGGTGCAAGAAACTAACCCACCAATGAGCGCTTCGAGATTTGACAAGCTGGCATTTTTTAGGTATAGACCCGAAACTTGTTTCTTGACTTTTTTCAAAAACGTGTGATCTAATGCATTTCGTGATGGGTACGAATTTTGCTTGACGTTTTTCACAAACATATGGAATTTCATACATTGTTCATAGTCAATGCTTACTTAGGAATACGACTGAGTTGCTACAATAGTTACCGAATTGAAGGCTCAAATGAATCTGCATGTTGTATTTAAAGTACCTCTATCGATTTTATCAGTTTATTCTTCACCTTATGAACAAGGTGAGGCCCACAAGGGGTCATATATTCTTGGCAAAACGAGTTTGAATGCCCATGCTACTATGCGCACTTGTGTGTTTAGGGGTTATGTATTTTCGCTTTTCACCGTATACGAACAATCAATGTTAGTTTTCTGGCTATTTGAAGGCCATTTTCCAAAGATAATGATGGAACTTCTGTGCCGGACGTAGTTAGATATAGCTACTCACATGCAATTTGGGGACACTTTACTAAATTAAGTATTTTTTACAGCATCGGAATCGTTCATATGCAATCCATGGCGCATGCATGCTATCAGATATATTTCAATAATTACTCTAAGGACTTATATTTTTATAGGTACGCTGTAAAAAACAGATATCGAACATATACCTGTTGTATGCTGTTCACCCTGCGTATAACTGAGTTTACATGTACGGACTTTTTGATCAAAAGATTCCAACGAACTTGCCAGTTTTGGACGCTTTGGTTACTCCTTCTGCATGTGTGGCGGTCTGATTTGTTGACGGAAGTTTTTTTGATTTAAGTCGTTATCGTCTGGTCAAAAGATTAAGAATGCTTAGTAAAGTGAAACTAATGACTTTTACTTGTCGATTGTTGTAGATAACCAGCCAAAATAAACTGATCATGATAATCTTAATTTTAAAAATGAATGTGATTGAAGTTTTAAATAGCCCTGCACCAGAGACTTACCCAGATCTATTATTGGGAGATGGGAATATTTGACATATACATGTTTGGCCATGTCAAGTTCTTTTGAAATCAGCCGTATTTATGGCTGAAAATGTACATGTCTTATTATTGAGCCGCGGTAATGATCTGCATTTGCAGACAACTAATTTCGACAATTTTTCCATGCCTACTTTTTAACAACGAAAATTGTGTGCAAGCGGCTGCCAGACAAAAATTGTTCACTGCAGAACCAATTTTTCCATACAATGCTAAGTAGAATAATGAAGAAGGAGCTGTTTTTCCATTTAAAAAAACAAACAAACAACTAAACTCAAGTTTTTTAGTCTCTGTTAGTATTTGAAATTGGGTTATTTTAGGCTGGAGATTATACCAGTCGACATATTCGCAGCTAGTTAAGAATTCTTTTGACTGTCAATATAAACATTGAATTGTATGCACTGATATAGTAAAAGATATAAATTATACATGCAAAAGACGAATTGGTTTTCGTTCGATTTTAAAAACATTTTTATCATGACCCAGCTAAGGCATTTCTTGAGCTTAACATGATAATTCCTAATATTGTGCTCAATATCTTAAAAAAATTATTAATCAACACGGCGAGAACGCGTAACAAGATAAAGTCTTGACTGAGTCAGATAACTGAAACGATGTCATGACAATTCCGGATGTTTACCGAAAACAAATTCATTTGGGCTATTCATACAGTTTTTCTTAAGATACACATTTTACGATACGAAACCCGCGCAACTTCCATAACGATGTTTATCTTGTTAAATGTGATCTGACACAGAAATTACCAGTGATCACTGATCATGTTTACATTGTAGAGATTATAAAATATTTTTTATTCCAGAGACTGCTTAACTATTTATTGCTGTCTTGGCAGTTGCATGTGCAATGTGTCAGTTGTTTAGCGGACGAGTAAATAGGTATAATGAAAATAGGCTTATTTTTAAGTTAACAAAGACATATAACTATGACATTTTGGTTGTATATATTTAGAAAGTAAGCTATCCAGTTGTTAGACTGACGCCAGCTTAGGATGAAACGTTTGGCCTCAATTTTAATTTTGTGCGCGATCCAGCGTTATGCAAAACCAATTAGCTACAATTTTTTAACCAATGATATCGTCACAAAGGTATTTAAATTCAAAATTGGCGGCTGTATGATTTTGCATAACCCTGGATCAGCTGTTGTGTTGACCGAATGTGCCATTTGCAGATTCTTTGCGAAAAAGCATTTCGATCGTGCTTGGGATTATGGAAAAAGCATTAATACTTACTACATTAATATATTTTTACTGGTGTGTTGCCCATGCAAGCTGGGCTTTTTTGCGTTGAATGGTTGAAAGCCCTTAGACATTGTTTAGATTTCGTATCACATGAACGCATTCAATTATGCAATTTTAACACAGATCCTTGATACAGATGCTTTGTAAAGCGTAGGATACCAAAAATGCAACTATTAGTTTCAAATTAGGATTTCAATACTATAAAGTTATTATCGTTTGTTAATTTTACTTTTTAGACATAGCCAACTTCGCAAAAGAAGAAAAAGCAATTGGTTTGAAGACACACAAAAGAAACTTTTCATCATGATGGTGTGTTGATTTCTTGATTTTTTTATGTTGAAATATACCGTTTCTCAGTACAAATGAATTTTTTTACGACAAAACCGTTAGGCTCGTCTTTGCAAGGCAAACGAGAGAATAGACTTACATACGAGCTGAAGAATTTTAGAACTACGATGATCAACCGTCTTCTCAAAATTCAATTTTTGCTCGTCAAATTTTTGCCTTTTTTATCTGTTCGGGTGGCAAATTTTTCAAAAGGTGGTTCTCATTTCATTTGGTGATAATTGCAGATCTGCTACAATGTTAAGTAAAGGGTTAATAATCTTAACATCAACTGCATGATCATTTGAGATGTATGACCGTTGAGCAAAACTCTGCAACACCATTTTGCGTAACTTTCATGTTCAATTTTCAAATAATATTAGTTCAAATCAGCTTTCTCCTTGCTCGGAGCTAAGAGGAATTACGAAACGGACGAACGGTCATTAAAAAATGTGAAACGAATTAAGAATCGATACATTACGAATTGATACATTATGATTTGATGCATCATGAATTGATACATCATGAATTGATACATCATGAATTGATACATTATGATTTGATACATTATGAATTGATACATTATGAAGCTATAGCTAATAAATCAAACTTTGCTTGACTCCAATTTCACAAAGTAATAAAAAAAACTGAGGTGATTTCAAGAAATATATCATAAGTTTTGCGAACTTTCAAATATACCAAACAGTTGTTCAGCACCTGTGAAAAAATTATGATCGCTAATTTGTGCACGCTCATACAATTTGATTACGTCTCGGGAAAAGTATTTCAAATGTAAACATGATGTGAATCTGTCATTATTGACGTAGGAATAAACTCATAAATGCGTATCACATTGCATTCTGCAAATATTTTTTCTATTTGCGTAATGATATATTTCAATCTTTTTTAAATTTACACTCACTCAGCGTGTAAGTGGCTCAAATTCAAGAGTCAAATTTGCAAGAAGTCGTGTGCGCGCCTTTAGTGTATCAAGAATTAAATTAAGTGAAGAACTGGATCTTGATGAGCTGATAATCATCTTGGTTTTTTTCTTTCAACATTTGCTATGACTATATCAAAACTACACGTCAATAACTGGCTCAATGAGTTGAAGTGATTTTTTAATTGATCACACGCGTGACATATGGATGAAATAAATTCGCCTTTTTTATTTTAGTATTTTGCCTAGCAGGTAAATGGCTGCATTGATTTCAACGAAACCCTTCAGGGTTAAATTAACGAGATTTCCCTTCGGGTGAAATCAACGAGACTGTCCAGAAAAGCTTGAGTGGAAGTCAAAATTTCAAATGGCGCATGTTAGATGGCGCAACGTTATACAACGCAGAGACATGCAGCAATAGGGAACACATGTAGAATTATGGCTACCTTTTATGATGATCATCGAGTGTTGAAGTTTCAGTTTGCGTCAAACGTATTTACTAGACCACGTCAATATTGCTAAAACAGCGCGTGTCGTAATTATGTACATAGCCCACACAGAACTAGATCCCGTAAACACAATTTCAAAAACAAGGAAAATTTTTGACTTAGAAAAAACCGGGATAATGGGCACTTTGGCATGTGTTACATTTTGCGAACAATGGCGGATGACATAAAATTTGAGGATTTTCATTTAAAAAATAGCAAATTCGTGGTTTGTCAGTCGTGTTTTAAAATACCGAGGCTTCTGTTTGATTCCCACGAGTATTCATCCCCAGGCTTATAGCTTTTTACGTAATAGGAAAAGCTTACTTACGCAGAGCTAAGAGCTAATAAAAGCGCCATGGTTAAAAATACTCCGTGCAAATTTAGGTTAAAGTGTGCAATTAAGAAACAGCTCAGTGCAATCCAAACAATCATGGAATATTTATTGTACTGGCGATACCAGCACAATGAAAATTGTTAGGGAAATCTACCATTTATCATCTTATCACAGGAAACATATTTGAATTCATGATATATGTATATGTCAGTTGGCATAAATTATACATGTACCATCTGTTTACTTTTTCAAAGTTTTTTACGACTAATAAAGTAAATGGTTTAAGACTGTGCTAATAAAGTGAACAACGACAAAAACAGTCCTTCTCAGGACTATACCACCTGGATGATCTACATCTACAAACATTTAACTGTGCTAATGTTGCTAATTTGGGCATGTAACAGTAATTTTGTTAACATGTTCCTCTTATGCTCCTTTCTTAAAGAGAAAGCGTTATTTCAATTTATGTGCTAAAAATTATAGTATGGGCACATTACTCTAATGTACAGATATACATCAGATGCTTTAATTACTTTAAGGATCTATAAAAGTCTTTATCTTGCTGAGTACATATGATTTTTCAGTGTAGGAAAATAAAGAGGTAAGAATTGTCTAGTTTTAAATATAAGAGACGTAGTTGACTTGTTTTTCTATTAATGAGAGTATCGTAATTATGCTGAGCTGCATGAAATAACACAACCCTGTTAAAGAATATTCTTTCGATGAGCACTTTCTTAAGTACATTTTAAGCCCTATTGGTGTAGCCATTTTATGGGGATATGCGTGAGGAGAGATCGCAATGCAAGTAAAGTCATTTGATGTAGTGACAAGCGTTGTCGCGCCTTTTAACTTATCATATCGCTATATTTCCGCGAGACTTTTCAATTAGAAAAACACCCTCCAAGGAATCTTACACTTTCTAACCAAATATATGTCTCTATAGAAGTATAAATATACTAATCATATATTTACCTTGCAAGTCTTTCTTGTGTTTACGTGTTACATTTCCAAGACTATCGAGAATGCATCTGTTTGGCAAAATTGATAAAACATAACTCTTAGCGTAGATGATAAATGATTCGAATGTTGAGAAAGTAATTTCCTATCTACGAATAGATCAAAATGTCATGAAATGGATACGCTCTCACAAGGGAGTAAACGCAACATGCTTGTTTTGACACCCTTTGAATATTTCGATACAATCTTAATTGAATTTTGCATGACCTACCATGATAGGTTATTTTTCTATGAAAAGCGAATGGTTGTCATTCGATAGCATCCCAAAGCCATTTTTGATTGTCTTTATAACAAGTAAATGAAAGATGGACGCATTTTTGCTTTGAAACAAACAGCACATTCTCAAGCTGTTTCGTCATCAATTTATGACAAGTAGATGAAAGATGAATGTATGTTTGTCTCTAAACAAGCAGGAAACGTTCTGCTGTTTCTTCCTGAATTGTATAGATGGTTTAATTTGCATATTCAGCGTCAATAAGCTTATCTGTTTTGTGCCTTTGACTTGCAATTCAACCAAAGTAGGTTATGATGACGTTTTAAAAAACATGTGTCACTCGTAGGTAGCTAAAGATGAAGAGCAGCATTGAAAATACAATAACGGAAGTATAATTGCCATCAGTAGTGTGGCCAGCACACTAATTTATTCAGCTATGCAATTTTTTGTTTTTTTACGGCAAACTGCGCCATTACGGTAAAAAATTCTGCTCACGCAGTGAAAACGATGATGTTCGTGAGGGACAAGGATTCTCTCTGCTCTTCAAAAGTAAAAGGGAAGTTTGATGATCTCTTTCATTAAATGTCGTCGCAAATTTGAAGCCTAGCTCGTTTGAAATGTTATGTATTCGATGAGTCTTTATAGGAACTATACAATTGATTTTAAATGCTTTATGATACTTTTTTAATTTATTTTGTTTCGTTTTGTCTTGCTCTTAGATGTATTTCAAAGTTAATTTTGTATTAAATTAAAGGGCAAAATTCCTATTGTTTAATCACAGTGCTCATCTAGGCATATGTTAAGATTGCATGTGAAAATTTGATGTAATAATTTGCATTTTATGTGAAGCGCATTATAATTATCGATCTAACTGCATGGTACAGGTTTTCCTCTAAAAGGCTTTGATAAACACAATAAGTTAGAGGTCTATATTGTTATATTACAGTATCAGCAAAACCTAGTTGCTAGTTCCTACAATTAAAGTTGTGTAAAGAACGAAGAACCTCTAAGTTTGCAAAGTGCATCTCTCATGACAAACGATGTTTATAACAAAAAAGTAAGGAAATTTTTGAATTGTAAAGTGTGACTTCAGCGCGAATTTTGTCTATACATACACCCCCATACTCATGTTTGCCATTTCTCGTTATTGATAGTTGAGGATCTACCACCTAAAATGCTGACCTGATTAAATTTAATTGTTAATGGTGACAATACAGCATACTTTTTTTTGTGTCCAGTTGGTTATATCTCTGCTCAAACAGTCTACAATCATGATGGGAACGACTTGATTGATATGAGTTACACCTCATGAAAATAAAGGAACAGCATGAATTTATAAGCTTCCAGGATGTTCCATATTGCAAACATTCGCAAAATGCGGAAAATTTGTATTGCATGATGTAAATAGTCAAATCATCAAGATGAGAAAATTTTGTTTTTCATGCCGAATTTTCTAGTCAATTGGCTGTTGTTTTCCACTGTTGCTCTTAAACTAGTCATTTTATTGATGAAAATATCGTGCTATTAACATATTATGCAGGACATGTTTCATAGCTTCATATTGTCATAATTTACGCATTCATGAAAAATATTTTAATCAAACATAATGAGGATTCATATTTGCATGTTACGTCCATGTTACGACCACTTATCTGAAACTATACTTGATAACGCACTGCGCTATTTCTGTGAAGCTAGAACCGCCATATTGGAAGGTCCCACTTAATACGAAAAAGTAATCATGATATCCATCAAAATCATATTCCCACAAAATATGCTAGGTTTATACATGGCTTTGAGTTCCAAAATAACAGAAATACGTCGTCATCAAAGCTCCCGTTTTATAGCAAAGTTTGTTTTTACTCCTCAAATGGTACCTAGTAATCGGGTGATAACAATAGACCCTTTGCAGTGACGTCACGCACGCTTAGCAACTGTTGCTGGGGGAGCATCTGGAGGACAAGCACTTGTGCACGCTTTATATATGTTAATATGGCTAGTAACATAAAGTCAGCGCTTTCTAGGTCAAAAAAAGGTTTTTTGCCTGGATATATAGAAAATATTCAGTGTAAGGATAGTAAAGCGCGTTACAAAATTAAATTAGGACATTGCAATGGAGATGATCCGTACGAAATACCAAAAAATCAATGGCTCGACGATATCGATCTGTGGCCTGCTGTCAGCTACATTCATGTTGGCATGTATTTATTATTTTCGGTCAGTGCGTACACGAAATAGCAGTTAAAAACTGTAAGAGTCTTGATAGTTATCAAAATTTTGTGAATGGATGGGTGCGTGAAGTGTTGGTGAAAAAATATGACGATCATTGCTTGCTTATAGCTCAAAGCAGCTTGTCGCACCAACAGAGATTCACCTTCCAAGAGTCTGATCACAAGCATTTGCTATCCAGAGCTGAAGAAATTTTCAACTGCAGCAACAAGATGGGGTTGTCAACATGAAGAGGTGGCAAGAGACAAATATCGGAAATGGGTAAACACAAACCATGAAAATGTTTCAGTAACAAACAGTGGATTCTGGATTCATTTGACCCATGAATCTCTTGGTGCTTCTCAAGATGGGCTTGTCTCTTGCCAATGTTGTGGCAATGGGATTTGGGAAATAAAGGTTTGTTATTCATTGTGTCTATGTTTCATGGGGAAAAGGTCAACATAATAATTACATCACCTGTTGATTTTGTTTTGATAGTGTCCATTTTGCCATAAAGATGAGACAGTTGAAACTTCAACAGGTGAAAGGTTGTTTTGCATTGAAGTAAAAAGTGAAGGCACAAAACAACTTAAAAGAATTCATGCGTATTACTATCAAGTACATTTGTAAATTATTCTAATTTCATTTAACAAGCTTAATGTATAGCAATTCACTTTCTTAAGTTATTGCTCAGTTGTCATGCACTGGTTTCAACTAATGTGATTTTGTTGTATGGATAGAAAAAGACTTGTTTTCATAAATTCCTTTAGCAAGCTTAATGCATAGAAATTCACTTTTTTAGGTTATGGCTCAGTTGTCATGCACAGGTTTGAGCTACTGTGATTTTGTTGTGTGGACAGAGAAAGACTTGTTTGTTGAACGAATCTTGCAAAATAACGAATTTCTAGAAAGGAAGATAGAGGCAGCAAAGAAATTTGTGTTGAGGAGACTCCTTCCAGAGTTAACTGGAAAATGGTACTGAAGACCCAAAAAATTGAATAAATGAAATATAATGAATCAAATGTCTTATAAATATTATTAGTACAATTTTAAGTGTATGCATGCAAAATCTTTTAAAAGATATTATTTAGTCATAAGGTAAGACAGAATCACAAATGTTAATTAGTGCACAGCTAACAGTAACTATTTTGTCTATCGTAGTGGGCTCATTTTCTTTAGAATTGACAAAATCAATTGGCTGAGTTGAACTCAGAAGTGTATATTTCTTTCTAATGTTTCCAATCACTCTTTTCACATGAATCCTCACATTAGCAATTCTTCTGGTTTGCTCAACTTCAATGCCACTGAGCTGTTTTTTACCCTTAGTAAAAGCTGGCATCTTGATAGTTGCACAGTACAAACCAACTGACTCCTGGATATCAAAGCCTTTATCAACTAAGATTACATCTCCAGGTAAGAGCTTATCAAGGAGACCACTGTTCTCAGTCAAATGTTTGTCACTGACTCTTTCTCCCAGCCATTGGAAACTGAGCTTACTGTACACTGGGGGAGTGACAGCATTTAAGTACTTAATCGTGTTGTGGTGCTTGTAGGATGAGTAAGTTTGTGCCCTCACAAGAGGATTTAATGCACAATCTAAAAAAATCTCAAAGCAGTCAGTTTCTAAAATCCATGGGCAAGGTCTTTCTTAAGGCTTCCCTATCAGGCCATAAAATGAGAGGGCTTAATCAATTATAAAGAACAATTACTTGTAAGAAAATTCTTGATACAGTTCCCTTGTTGATGTTTCCAAATCGATAAGCCAAATCCACACCAGTTAAATTAAAGTACAGTTTCATAACTGTTAAAAGCAACTGCCTAAATGGTGACAAAGAGCATTTGGGAGAATGCATAAGGTAGGGGCGTACCAGTTCCAGTGTTGCTGACAAGATCTTCCAATTTGGCAGACCAGTGTAAAAGAGGACTTTTTCGTCATCATTTAAGAAAGATTTCTCGTCAAGCGTCATGTCACTTATCTTGTTTTTTAACTCAAGATTTTCTTAGGTCAAGCGATTTATCTCGCTTTTAATTGCAGTTATTTTATCCAAACTCAGTTCTCTTTGTGAATATTTGGTGTTCGATTCTGATTCTGACAATGAAGCAGATGTGGCTGATTATGACTCCGTGTTCTTCGTCTACAAGATGGGTTGTCAAGGTCGATTGGGTCACTGCTGACAGTACTGTTTCAACGGATTCACTTTTTTTCGTTTTTCATTTCTTTCCGAAGTACGAGCATAGCGATCGACGTCAACTTTTTCCACATATGTATGTCCAAGGTTTTGAGATGGAGCCCAGTCTTGATTAGTTTGGTCCGTTAAAGCCGATGGCTTCCTTGTCATTGTAAACAAAACAATAAATGGTATAAAATGACACAAACGAACACAACAAAGCTTTTTTCAACTCATTGGCTTACCAGTAACAAAATGAAGGCTACACACTCGTAAATACGTGCATTTAGAATCATCAATGTCTGCCCGACGAATTCTTCGAAGCCACAAAGAACGACGTTCCTTGTGTAAATCGTGCAATATTTTGCTTGCATTGGTTTTCACAGCTGGTATCCGATAAAAACTTAATTCCTTATCCCTATCAGCACGCTTCGAACAGCCATAAATTGCGCTGAAGTTAACCATCCTTGACAATAATATTGCTTTGTTATTCACATGTCGCGTTTGCTTATCCTCCAGATGTTACGTCACCGGGATTGTGACGTCACATGCAATGGGTCTATAGGGCACCCGATTACTTTGGCTTCAACTTTGATTGGGCGCCATATTGCAATGCGCTATCTCGTTCATTATACATATGGTTACGACACGGCCGCCATGTTGGTGATCAAATACAAATGATAATTTCTTGAAGGTTGTTGGGTACAATCCAAGAAAAAATGTAAGGAATGCATGATGACCCTCAAGTCAGTTTTGGATACTTTCAGTTCCTTATCACAGCGTGCATAAAAAGAGAATAAGACTAAAAATATCCATAAAAATAATAAAAAATGATAACAACACATAAGATATAACACCTGCTTCTTACTTGGAGTAGTTCAAGTCGATCTGAGCTCTGAAGAAATTCTTTGCTACAAAATTCAAACTGAACAATGATAACGCTTTCTTATTTGTTCTTTTTAAGTGTCTGTTAAAATCCATTCTTTTTTGCACAGTCTGTACATTTATTTATAGTGCTCTATAAATACCCAATACCACATACCAAAAATATTAAAGATCATGACGAATGTGGCAACCAATTAACGTCTTTAGAATTGCCATTACTTATACTTGCGAATATTGCTTAAATATAAATTTAGGAATTGCTACAACGAGGAAACAATACATCATTGTACTTCATATGATGATATTTTATAGATATAATATGCATGCTTGTAAATATAGATCGTTCAGGTTGGTATAGTCCTCAGAAGGACTGTTTTTGTTGTTGTTGACTGACGTTTCGACAACCTTAGCGGTAATCATCTTCAGAGTCAAATGAGGAGTAAACGTAAGGTTAACCGTATTTGTCATCTGGCTCTTACGTCATTGTATTGTGTGTACTGGAAATATGTGGGTGTCAATTGTGCATTGTTATTGTGAATTAGTGTGAAGTGTAATGTTTTTAGTTGTGATGTGGGATTTAGGTGTGATGTTTTTAGTTGTAATGTGTGGGTGTCAATTGTGTATTGCCATTGGGAATTATCATAAAATAACATATTCTAAATGCTTGTTCTGATTGATCGATGCCCGTGTTTAGATCAGATCAATAGCTGTAGTGGGAATTTTCAACATGCCTGAAAATAACGATTTTTTATCTAATGAACTTGGAATGCATTTCTGGCAATGTGAATGTGAATTTAAATCAACATCAGTGATTTTTCTAAGCATTTAAACTCGATAACCTCGCTGTAAGCCTATGTTTTGTTGTTTTTGAGTTCGTTATTCACAAAATTTTACAGCTTCGCTTGCTTGAGGGAGAATTTTATTTTCAAGTGTTTAGCCTGTTCCAAACACTTGGAAATGTCGCTCGTCACTCGAATAGAAAAGCGGTGCAAAACACTCCCCTTTGGCTCGTGTTTCGAGCATTTTTCTCTACTCTTGCTGAATTCCTGCCTGTCAAAGTACTATTTTTCAGAGAACGATTTACTGTCTAAAAATGCATTCGATTCTTGGTAGTTTTTCTCCATCTATATTTATATTTCCTTCCATAACATTATTGCAATACATCGTGGTTTTTCATTATAAAAAAATCAATACATTGAATATAGATGTCGAATTTGCTGTGCATCTCCGTAGTGCTAACCAATTGTCTATGTTAATGGTGAATTGTTACTATTATAATGAAAACTTCTGCGAAAGTTTGCGACAATCATCTACAGATATAGAAACTGTTTTCTTACCTGATTAACAAAATGAAAGGTGATGCAATCCTCTGTCACAAAAAAATTGACATGCTGAAATAGAAAACTGCTTTTGTTATGAACCAGCTACATTAAAATCTTGCAAATATTTTCTCGCGTTTCATTTCATCTTTTAAAAATTACATGAGCGTGTATTCTTAATTAGAAGGAAATCGTTGTAATTAAATTAATAACATTGACGTCTCGAACAATAACGTTACGAAAATGTGGTCGAAACATATGAATTTTAATAATTCAACACTTGTGTCAATGTAGCTAGCCGCTTTTATTACTGTTTTCGATAGAAAAGTTCATGCACTACTATCTATGATCAACATCAAATCAAAATACGAAAAAATTTTCATTCTCTAAATTGTTTGTCATTTTATCATACAACGCCTGTTACATGGGTATAAGTCAAGAGCATTCTATTTAATGGCTACATACACCTGCAGGTGATACTTTAAACCTCGGGATAACACATAAGCTTGTTGACCAACGACAACATGAAGTCTCGTTCAATTCTTATGATAACTACGAGTTGAAGGCTTGAAGCGAAGTCAAACATATTTTCAGGAATAGGGTTTGGCTTTTTGACTTTCCATGAAATCAAACTATTTACTTGAAGGTCATTTAAAATTTATATGAATGAACAGGAAAATCAGTTTAATAACTTATGTATAATACAAAAAATATATCGCTTACAGTGGTCGTTATAAAAACAAAAGAAATTAAAAGCAGCATCCCGTTGTTTTGTAATCCATGGAAAAATACATGGAAAACCACCCAGGAAATCATTGAAATGATATTGATCGACCTCACCATTAATTTTAATGATCGACATTAATATATAATGTCGATGTAGCGTTCATGATCAATACAGAATATACTACACTTATTAATAATGTATTTGATCGAAAAGCTTACACTACAAATCGGTTTCATGCAAATATTTCGATTCATTAAATTCTTTACTGCACTTATTGTGATCGAAACCTTCACAAACAAAAACTGACGTACCACGTGGTCTGTCAGGTTTGATACTTTTTGGACATATCATGTTCACGGCTGATGTTGCAACCCTACCTAGTCTTTTTTCCTTGTTACTTTTCTCTTCCTTGACTTCACGTGTTGCTCTTATTGTGTGAATATTGTGTTCGCTCACATTCTTCTTTTCTTCAACTTTAGGAAAACATTGTGTATTATGCGTACTTTGAGAAATAAACTGACTTCTTGTGTTTCCAGTATTATTGTTTGGATCTTTTTTTTCCGTATGTTCACATTGATTTAAATTTTTGGTGTCACATTTAATGCTATTCGAGTTGGGACATTCCTTGATGCACGGCATTTTCGTGACGTTGATACCTTGGTACTCTTCCTTTGTGCCATTGCGACTATACCCATTTTGCAAATGCTTTGTTTCTTCCAAGTTGTCCTTTGGTTGATTTTGTTTTGTGATGCAATTCAAACTTGTGTATCGCACTTTCCTGCGAATTGACTTTAGCGAGAATGTATTTTGATGAAATGATCCAGTTCTTGCTCTCACTGAACTACAGTTATCTTTGCTTCTGGACAGTACGCTTGTGTTCGTATGCTGGTTGCCAAGTCTCAACTTTAGATTTTGTTTACATATCATTTGCATTGCACCAAATATAAATGGGTTAATAGCAGAGTTTGCGTATAGCATGATGGTTGAAAAGGCTCCTAAATGATCGTCGTACGGATGTTTCGAATATCCACGGAACGAAAGCCACATCCAGTAACAGTCACCAGGCAAAACACAAATCACGAAAATTAACACTGCTGTACTGAATATCTAGAAGAGATTCAATAAGAACAACAAGTGAAATTGTAAAGATACATATGCAGTATTTCAGAATGAAGGGAAAGAAATGAAATTGCGCTAAACAACACGAAAAGGTGTACTCAAAGCACACCTTATGTGTTTTGAAACAGGCAAGGTGTGTCAAAAGTAAAATGAATTATTTTTCAGAACACCTTGGTGTGTTACTTAGCACACCATGGCGAGCTGTGTAGCACACCATGGTATGTTACATAACGCACCTTTAATTAACACACCTTTTTAACAGCACGTTTTTTTCATGAAGGCTTGCTACTATAGTGCATCTAATCAATTTAGCACACCTTTCCTGCTAACACACTTAATAAATATGAGTCCATAGCACACCTTTTTGCAGCACACCATTCGCTTAAACATACCTTTGCAAAACACAGCTTGCAATAAAAAAAACAACACACCTTTATAAAACATAGTTTTCTTTATAACACTACCTTTTCAGACACACCTTTCCAGAACACACATTGCATGATAACACACCTTTAAATTTATGCATATGCAAGCCGTCTCTTATGGCACACCAGAAACAAAGCTTACAGCACCAAGTCGAATATCGCTTACAAGGACTGATACAGAATTTTATCAAATTGACAACATCTTCCGTGTTTCTATGCAGTTATATAAACACGCGTTCCAAGCAATTTCTCGTTTCTCCCAAACTTTCACAAATGTTTTTATAACTTAATAAAAGCAAGTAAATATGTTTTCGATTTCGTTCATTGATTTTAATGGCGTGTTGTTTATATTTTTTCCATTAAAATTTCCCGCACAAACCACGCAGCCTGCAAGACTCCTGCTAGACTGAAGTCTCGTGAAAATACCAAAATGGTTTTATCGAGTATCGATAAATTAAAATATCCGGACACCAACTGAAGCAAACTATAAGCTGTTTATTATAAGCGAATTTGAATCACAACCAAACTAAACATGCATGCAAGACGTCGGTTAAGAGGAAATTTTGTAACATTAACCCCAAACTGGAAGAAATTATAGCAATATCAAACGAAGCAGTAGCAGAACAAATCTAAAATAGGCCAGGTTACATTCACACTAAAACTTACACTGTATATTGTGCTAACTAACACACCATCCTCTACTTCTCCTCAACCCTAACCTCGACACTGTTAACTGAACTCTGTCGGAAATTATGTAAATAAATTATGATTGCTATTTGAGACTAGGAACTTATCGTTCAAGCGGAAAAAGGAACTTATGATTATTGAGTATTTGAGAAGGGACAAATTAAGACGGCATTGTCTTTTGTTGATGCCTGTGAACGAGTAAGGAGCATGAATTGGAATTCATGTATAACTTTGTCAAGAAATTAAAATTGATGACATTTTGAGAATTGTGTTTGACTGCGCGCTAGCTTTAGATAGTATACAGTCCCATAGAGAACCGGCGGACGCATAACTGCTTTGTGCTGACGTGCAAAGGAGAAATTTGCTACACGTGGTCCTTCGAGCCGGATCTTTTATTTGGAAAATTCAAGTTCGGTAGTTGGAAAGAACAATGGAAGAATTAATGAAAAAGAAATGAGTGCGCTCAGGACATAGGGGATCGGCGAGAAAAATCGCCAGTAAATTGAAAGACAAAATAAGAGGAACAGACGGTGAGATCGATAGAAATGAATTGAAACATTTACGAGTCGGGTTAAATGATAAAATTGCAACATTGAAAGTCTTTGATGAAACGGTTATCGAACTCCTGACGAAATAATCGAAGAAAATGTGGAAGAAGAACTGGGTAAAGAAATAGAAGATGCGGATGAGATACGAGCGGAATTCGGGAGACTAATTTTGGATTCAAACGATATCATCAACGAGTCAATTCCTCCAGTTGAAACGGCAACAAGGGCATTGAATGACACATTGAATAGCAGTTCGAGTAAAGAGACGCAAAGAGTTATTCGAGCAAAACTCCCAAAGCTGGAAGTAAAGAAATTTAGCGGATGGTTACAGGAATGGCAAGAGTTTTGGGATTCGTTCGACAGTGCGGTGAATAGCAATGATAGATTGGCGGACGTAGACAAGTTTGCGTACTTGAGGAGTCTTTTACTCGAACCCGCAAAATCGACAATATCGGGATTTGCGTTAACTTCGGCGAACTATCGCGAAGCAGTAGAATTATTGAAAGGTAGATACGGCAAAAAGAACGTGATCCAGAAAGCACACATCCAGGAGCTGATGAATGTTAAATCCATAAGGGACGAAGGAGATATCGACAAGCTACGGTTATACGACACCTGCGAGACGAACTACCGTGGGCTAAAGGCCCTAGGAGTTGACGAAGCCGCGTATTCAGCAATCGTAGTACCAGAAGTTATTGCGAAGTTACCGGACGCCTTTCGATTCACGATTACAAGAGGCCACGATTTTGCTGAGTGGTCAATGAAAGATGCGTTGAATGCGATTCTTAAAGAGTTAGAGCATCGAGAAGCTCACAAGCCGATCGGAGAAAGGAGCAAGGGAAATGACGGGGAGAAACTACGAGAAAGATCGAGACATTATAGACAAATCGGGTCGGCGTCAGCGCTTCACGCAAAACACGAAGGTCGCAACGAGGGGTCAACAAACGATAAAGCAGCACGAAACTGCGTTTATTGTCTCGGGGAACACAGACCGGAGGAATATAAGAAAGTCATTAATGTAAATGAGAGAAAACAGCTGATTCGTAAGTACGGAAGATGTTTTATTTGCTTGAAGAAAGGACATGTCAGTAAAAATTGTAATAGTAATAATATATGTGGGAAGGCACACCATAGGTCAATTTGTGAAGCCAATGGGATTCTTTCAGGCGATGTTCAAACCAACCATTCTATTTTGGGATCTCATTGTAGGGTAGCATTACAGACAGCACAGGCTTTTATTAAGGGACATAAGGGACATAAGGGACTCTAACAGAGTCAGAGTTTTATTTGATTCAGGAAGTCACAAGTCATTTGTGAAAAGAAAGATAATACAGAGAGCAGGTATTCAGTCTATTAGAAAGGAATGGGTAGAAATCAAATCATTTGGTCAAGAGAAGGCTGAAGGTAAATTACGAGAAGTGTTTCAATTAGAGTTGACTTCAGTTACGGGGGGAGAGAGTGTGAATATTAAAGCATACAGTGTAGACTGTATATCTCAACTTAGAAATGAACATGTAAAGTTGAGAAAAAGGGATTATTCTCATTTAAAAGGTCTGTGGTTTTCAGATGTTTGCAAGGATAAGGATGTTTTGGAAATTGAGGTATTGGTCGGAGCTGATTATCTTTGGTGGTTTCAGGAAGGAAATGTTGTTCGGGGACAGGTAGATGAACCGGTGGCTGTGTCTACTAAATTAGGTTGGGTGTTGTCCGGGCCCATGAAAGCTAGAAACGATTTAGATAACTTGCACACTCAAGTAAACTTCATTGCTCATGAAAGCTCTAGCAATTTAAATTTGGATATGAATGCCAATCGCTTGTGGGATTTTGAAACTATAGGAATAGTTAAAGAGGACGAGATTCACGAGTCTTTGAAGGATTTTATTGTGTTTAATGGTAAAAGATACAGTGTTGAATTGCCTTGGAAGGAAGGACAAAGATTAGATTCTACAAATTTTAATGTAAGCTTAAAAAGATTAAAAGGTCAGTTAGTCCGGCTGAAGAAAGAACCAGACATTTTGGATGAGTATGACAAGACAATCAAGGATCAGTTGAGTAGCGGTGTTATAGAACCAGTCATAGAAGTAGAGCGAACTGATAAAATACATTACCTACCACTTCATGCAGTTGCTCGTAAAGATGCGAAGACAACCAAGGTACGAGTTGTTTATGATGCGTCATGTAAAGAGTCACCAAACGATTCCTCGCTTAATGACTGTTTGCATGTGGGACCCAAATTAGCGCCATTGTTATTTCACATTTTGATAAGGTTTAGGGAGAAAAGAGTTGCGTTAGTGGCAGACATTGAAAAAGCATTTTTGAACATTGCAGTTGACACTTTGGACAGGGATTGCCTAAGATTTTTATGGGTAGATTATGTGAATAGTCAAAGGGTAAGACCTGTGGAATACCGGTTTTGTAGAGTAGTGTTTGGGGTTAATTGCTCTCCATTTTTGTTGAATGCAACGCTACAGTATCATTTAGACTCATTCATGGAAGTATTTCGAGAATTTGTTAGGAAACTCAGAGACAGCTTTTATGTAGATGACCTTGTGTCAGGTGATCAATCGAGGAAAGAAGCAATCATGTTATATGAGACAGCAAGTAAGCGAATGGCTGCAGGGGGATTTAAGCTTAGGAAGTGGCTCAGTAATGAGGAGAGTGTTCTTAAAGAAATAGAAAGGAGAGAAGAAGGCAATTTAGAAGGGAGAAAGGTAGATGTAGTTATGAAGAATGTGGTTGATGATCAAATTTACGCAAAAGCATTTGTTGGGGAAAATAGTAGTGGAAGTTTTGAGAAGGTACTGGGATAGGGATGGGTGTGTAAATCAGATCGATTTGTGAAATTGGCTGAAAGAGCAAAAGCACTCGTTCCTAGTAAGCGAAACATACTAAGTGTACTTGCAGGGTTATTTGACCCGTTGGGTATTGTAAGCCCAATCATAGTTTGTGTTAAGTTATTGTTTCAGGAGTTGTGTATTGAGAACATTGAATGGGATAAAGAGTTGGATGGTGACAGGAGGAAACGGTGGGAGGTGTGGATAGAAGAGTTAGAGCAAGTAAGGGACTTAGTAGTGACGAGATGTGTTTATGGTAGTTTGATTGGTGAGACAAAGTGTTACTTGCATGGGTATGCAGATGCCAGCCTGAAGGAATACTGTGCGGTAATATGTATTGTAACAGAACTAAATGGGGCTTATCATGTAGTAATTACTTACTGCGAAAACGAGGATAGCACCATTGAAATTGCAGACCATTCCCAGATTAGAACTTATGTCGGCTAGGATACTGGCAATGTTAATGGACACAGTGAAGTCAGCGTTGGGAGGATACGTAGAGTTTATAGGAACATACTATTGGTTAGACAGTATGACTGCATTGTGCTGGATCAGTAATAAGGGAGAATGGAAACAATTTGTACGCCATAGAGTTAACGAAATTTTAAAATTGAGCAGAAAGGATGATTGGAGACATTGCCCAGGTGTAGAGAACCCAGTTGACTTAGGTTCTAGGGGAGTTGCAGCCTCGCAATTAAAGGGAAGTGAGCTTTGGTGGAAAGGACCAAGGTGGTTGTCAGTTCCACAGTGCAAATAGCCAAGGGCAAAAGAGGTTAATGATACAGAGGAAAGTCTTGCTGAGGTAAAAAGGACTGCATTAGCTGCAACACAGGTAGTAGAGAGTGCAGTGAAGTTTGGTGATTTTAGTGATATAGAAAGACTTGTAAGGGTCATGGCATTTGTTCAACGGTTTGTAGACAATTTGAAGGCAAAAGTTAAGCATAAGGCAGGGAATACGGGAGCATTGAGAGTATCAGAGCTGGTGATAGCAGAGCAAGTGTTGATAAAATGGGCTCAGAGAGAAGTAAGGAAACGTAGTGATTATAAGCAAATAGTCAGACAATTGAACATAGTGGAGCCTAATGGAATGATTAGATGTAAGGGTAGACTTGGCAATTCAGAGTTAGAGTTAGAAGCGAGGGAACCAATTTTATTACCTAAGAATCACCACTTAACAGAATTAATCATTAAAGATTGCCATAGGAAGGTTCACCATAGTGGGGTGAGAGCGACTTTAGCTCAGCTACGCAGCAAATTTTGGGTGCCTCGAGGTAGACAGATTGTGAAAAGGGTGATTGGTAATTGTATGATTTGTAGAAGGCATCAAGGCCAGGCTTACAAAACACCAGTGCAAGCAGATCTGCAAGCAGAAGGAACAAATTAAAACGGAATTGTCTTTTGTTGATGCCTGTGAACGAGTAAGGAGCATGAATTGGAATTGATGTATAACTTTGACTAGAAATTAAAATTGATGACATTTTGAGAATTATGTTTGACTGCGCGCTAGCTTTAGATAGTATACAGTCCCATAGAGAACCGGCGGACGCATAACTGCTTTGTGCTAACGTGCAAAGGAGAAATTTGCTACAAACTCTGCTGAAAGCCGATTGAAGAAACATGTTACAAAAAACTGAGAAGCTTGAATGGATTACAGTCTAACAATCTTTAGTGACTTACTTTTATGATTTTCTTACTCTGATTCAGTCTCTTCATGGTTGCAATCGGTTGTTTTGACGATGTTGTTTTGTTTTTGCTAAATTGTTGAAATTGTGTACGCAAAACATAACCAGCTCTTCCGTAACAGTATGCAATAATGGTCAGCGGTATGCAATAATCCATAGTAAACAGTGTCAGTGTGTAATATTTGGCGTCACGTTCAGACCAGTCTTCAAGGCATTCTTCTTCGGGTACAGATGAGTATTTTAATGCATTGCCAAAAGGAGTGACGGTAGCGGCTGCTACCAACCAGATAACGACTATGCTTGCAAGGATACTTTTTTTGGATAGTCTAATGGTTAAAAAAGGATAACATTTTTATTCAACAAAAAAAGCTGAGACGTAACCATATACACTCGATTTTCAGATTTGGCTTTTTTTGCTTTCACAGTAAATGTGAAATATTGTGAAATATAGGATGAAACATACTCCAATAAACAAAGACGTCTTTGAAACTAAAGGTATGAAATAGACGAGAAAGATCATCGGTGATATTTGACAATGATTCTGATACAGAGTTGAAATACCACCAATTGAATCATTTCGTTTTGTTTTTTTTATGTAACTCACATCTTCAGTTTGTAAGATATTGTTCCATATCGGAGTAGGTTTCATTCTATATTTTGAAATCAGTGTCTGCTGTGAAAACTTATCGCAGAAAGCATTAAACATGTACTCTCCAAAGAACTGAACAACACACTCCAATAATATTAAAACCAATCATTTGCACGGTACACCAAAACCCAAGACAACGCATTTCACATCATCCAATTATATTAATCCACCCGCTAATCCAATTAGACGCTCTAAGCGTCTACAAATAAAAGAATTGTATATAACTTCTATATCTTTCTGATGAAGGCTCGAAGCACCGAGTCGAAAGCTCAATAAAATAATTTTATATCAATCCGGAGTAACTTTCATATTTTTACATTAAATATGCCTGGATTACAAATCTTTAAACTTGTATGTATATTTATATTGATGGAATTTATGAATTTTGTCAAAAGTAAAGAAAAGTCTCACCTTCGCTTCAGTGGGCTGCATATTGCCCTGTGTCTCTCGATACTCATTCCCATCAAGGTCAGAATTGATATAAGGATGAGAGACGTTTGCAGGGGATAGATCACGTGACAAAGAACTTTGCCGTACGGCCACCATTTCGAGTAATGCTGATATATGTCCAGCGGTATACCAACAGCGCAAACTAATAAGTCGGCTATTGCAAGATTCATGATGAAGCATTCGCTTGATCTTAGTCTTCCACGCAAGAGTCCAATCAAAATGATCACGTTTGCAAAGGTGCCAACCGCACTGATAGCGCAGTAGAAAACAATTTGTGTGATGAACAAATAGTTAAGATCCTCGTCCGCATCATTTGTGTTATTGGTCTGCTGCTGACTGTTTGTGTCGTTGTGATCCGTCATTTCAGTACTGATTAAGAAAGAATAAAGCTCGTGTCACGAAAATGTCGTGGAAAATTGATAATATAGCCAATTTACCCTCATTACTTTGGCAGCCATATTTCTTAACACAAGCTAAGCTTAAAACTATTCTGTGAATTGCAATTCTTTAGACTAAACTAATACACGTGCTTCAGATAATAAAACGTTAAACATGTCTTAGATTCCTAATGTACGTGGACTTTACGTTCACGGCATTAAAAAATGATCCAATACAAAATAACATTGAATGTTTTATGAAGTGCGGTATTTGAAATTAAATGAAGATATGATCTTCGCACTTTTCTGGACAATTTAAGCAATCGTACTTGAGCCCAACAATATTGACCTACTCACCACTGTGTGACTTCATAGCTCAGTAGGTCAGAGCACTGCACCGGCACCGCAGAGGTCATGGGTTCGAATCCCGTTGAGTCACCTGATTTTTTCAGGTCCTGAGACGATTGCTTAAATTGTCCAGCAAAGTGCGAAGATCATATCTTCATTTAACAAAATAACATTGTCAATAATTTTATTTGCATATTCATGTGCAAAATAACATTGTCAAAAAACATGGCTGCCGACCTGCCGTCTCGCGTTTCACTTAAATTTCTGACGATAAACTTAATTGTTTACTTCTGAAAGCAAATCGAGAGAAGACTAAAGTTGCCACTAATTACAACCTAAAGATACATCATTGTGGAATAAACAAAAATTAAATTAAATTAATGGAACATGCATTGAGCAAGAGTCGTTTTCTTTTATATATAAACTAAGCTAACTGTCAAAGCAACAATACATAAAAAAATTAAAGGAAAAGTAAAGAAACACTTTTCTTTATAGATATTAGTATGATTCTACTAAAACAATTAGATTTGCTCTTATCAACATAGATATCTCGAACTCGTAATCTAATCATCAAATATAATATAAGTATTGGCGAAGTCAACCTGAATTTTGACTCGTACAATGCCAATATATATTGTACAGTTGGTTACATAAAGTTATCATTTACTTTTTTAGACGGACTGGGATTTTTGGCTTGTTGTTTTAACATCGAAAGAGCAAAAAACATTGAATGGCTAAGAATTTTTTTGACGTAAGTACACATTACCTTTAAACAAACCTTTTAACTTCAATTACGACAGCTTTGACTTCGCAACACTCATGTATTATATCTTTATAATTGTTTTAAAAAGAGCAAATGCCAACTAGCCCTACAATTCTAAAAAAACTGTTTTTAAAGCTGAAGACACTATGCATTTCGGCAGACTACTTGTCAGTGGTCTATCCTTATATTTATAAAAGTTTTAGCTATCAAAGTTTTTATTGGGAGAAGGAATTACAGAACCTGCAGGCCGCATGTGGGGGTATCATCAACAAAATTATTCTAGTTACAATGAAAGTTTCAAGAGCTTTGAGTTTGAGATGAGGGAAAGATAATAAATCAATGATCTCGTCTCGTTAAATTCAAAAACGTTAGTTAAAAAAGTGAAATCCAAGTTTTGCCCTCTGATCGAACATTCAAGATACATTTAATAGCGTATGTTTGTTGCCCTGCATTAAACAAAATTAAATATTCAATAACACAATGCAGTATATCTATAAAACTTGGAATATTCATTTGATTCAATTATATTAATTTATCAATGAAGATAAAAGATGATTTTCAATAACATTACAAAAAATTCATCAGTCATCACTACACATTCATTACGAAAAAAAGAATATATAACAATTCTTTTTTACGTGTTGAATATTTAGTTATGCTTATTGAATTTTTTTAAAATCTTATTGAATTTCACCTTTTATCTTAAGTCATCAATTAGGATAATTGAAATTTCACAAATGTAAATGATTTTCCATTCGTCCAAATGAATATTCTAAAGTTTTATTAATGTATCGCTATATAATTAAAACATATTTAAGAATTTTATGAAAAAATGATCGCACATGCTCAATACTGCTTGTTTACATTTCTGGAAAAACATTTCCAACGTAAGCGCGATGAAAAGCTGTCATTATTGACATGGACGTAAACTAATAAATGTATATCATATTATATATTACATTCTGTAGATATTTGTCTGTTTGCCCTACGATATATTTCAATCTTTTTTTAATTTGCACTCAGCGTGTAATTGATTCAGATTCATGTGTTAAATTTGCGAGAAATTGTGTTGCACGCATTTGGCTTTGTGTGTCAAGAGTTATAATAGATATAAGTTAGGGACTTGATTTTGATGAGCTGATAATCATCGAGTTTTTTTTATGTTTCAACATTTATCATGTTTATTATAACTATATTCGTTAATCCCAAGCATGAAGCGATTTTTTAATCGATCTCGTGCTTGAGATAGCCATAAATAAAAAAGGCAGGTGTTTTTTTTATCATTGAATTTCCCTCACTGCATGCTGAGTTTCGCAAACACAGGTCAATGCCATTGATTTTACCCAATTAAGTCAAAGTAAGGGCATTGGTTGAAATTAACGAGACCATGCTGGAAAGTCGAATTACGAATTGCAAAGGACGTTCGTTTGCTTGAAATCACTAATATCTCACAGCATGTTAATACTTCCAATGCCACAACGCAGATTTTTGGAAACGCTTACAATCGCAATGATACAAGGAACGTCTTTATTTTGGTGTTAGGAATCACACAGTTTTTTATTTATCTACGCACTACCACATAATTCACCAGATTATAATCAATTAGTGCCAATTTTTTTAATTATTTTTTTGCTCAACAATCAAGATGAGTCCGTTGGTTATTGAATTATTTGCCCACTGTTTGTTTTTATAGTTATTTTTTTTGTACTTGGCGTATACTGAAAACATATGAATAGCAGACATATCCAAAACAGTGCATATCGTAATTATACTTACTTAGCCCACATACAATAGTATCACTCTTAAGAATAAGAAAAATCTCAAAATAAGAAAAAAGCATACGATGGGCTCTTGCGTGCAACTCTTATAGGAAAAACCATTTTCCCGCTGCATAGCTACCCAGTTTCAATAAACACTAATATGATCAATATAAAATATCTTATAGCTAACAGTTACCTTGTAGCCACTTCAACTCAAAGCTGAAGTTTTTACGTCATGCGTGGTCAGCATTATCAAAATCAATAGAATTTCCCGTAAATTTAAAAGTACAATTGTAATTTCTGAAAAGGATTTTTTTGGGGGACGAAAGTGAATGAAACAAACGATTTTCTTATTCAATTTTTACATTTTTAGTTGTAGATATAGCTATGTTATTAGTAGCATATGATTGTGTTTGGCAGTGTAGCACTTCATATGCAATCAACATAAAACCTCTGTGACATCACTGTTTCAATACACGTGGATTCCCATTTGTAAAAATGCTATCGTGTTTTGAATTCTCAGCGTTAAGACTGAATTCCTGACTTTTTTTTCCATTCCCGGGTCAACGTTTTTCATGTTAGGAGAGCTGATAAAGTTTAAATTTAATTTGCCATACACGCACAATGAAAATTTGTAGGAAAAGTTAGCTGCTAATTTTTCACTGGAAAATATAATGTTTCATAATATATATACATCGGTCCGCCTCTTATACGTCTGCTGTCTATTTACTATTTTCAAATTTGATTCGCGATAGCGCTAATGTTGCTAATTTGGCATGTGATGGGAATTTGGTTGACATGTTTCTCTTGGGGTTCGCAGCTACTTCAGAAGAAAAATAAAAGCATTATTTTTGATCTTGCGCTAAAAATTCTTAAACGATCATGCGCGTTCTTAACACATCAGATACTCTAAGTACTTCAATTATGTAAGAATCTTTATCTTGTTTCATATAGCTGCTACATGCTTGATCTGTGTAGAAAATATGTGGTAGGGTGAAAATATGTTAGTTTTGAAAACTTAATGACGTTGCTAGTTATTCTTCTATATACTCGTGATTATAGTTATTATGATCGACTGAAAAAACGCAGCCAGTGCGGAGAAAATCTCCTTTCATGACAAGTTAATCACATTTACCTTACGCTCTTTTAGTTTCGTATATAAATATGTTTCCAAAATTCCAAGACTAGCGAACATACGTCTGTTAAGCAAAACCAATGAAATTTAACTCTGAGCGAAGAAAATAGAATGATTTGAATTCACAGAAGGTAAATTCTTATATCTACGAAACGAATTCTTATATCATGATGTCATGAAATGGATACCCTAACATATGGGAGTATTTTGCTATATGCCTGTTTTGACGTCATTTGAATATTTTCGTACAATTTTACAATTAAAAGACAATTTTTAGACACTTTTCTCAGACAATTGCTTGACCTACATTCATAGATTGTTTTTCACGAAGCATAAATGGTGATATACTGCACGACAGCACGTCAAAGCTTTAACTAGTCTGAAAGATGAATTGATTTTCGCTATTTACAAACAGGAAATTTTCAAGCTGTTTCTTTTCGAACTATGTGGAGATGTTTATTTGTATATTCAATAAGTTGATAGGCTTTGTCGCACGTTTTTGATCGCAATTTGACGAAAGTAGTTAGTGACGTTTTAAATATGCATTTATAATGCACATGAGTAAAGAGAAAAAGCAGCATGAAGAATTCAATTATGAAAGTAGAATCGCCATTACAATATTTAGCTCATGGTGTATAAAATATTGTACCAGAATTCTTATCTCTTCAAAATGGAAAGGAAATTTGATGTGGAAAGGAAATTTTATTAAATGTTCACTTTGACTCATATATCTGTTTAAACTAGGCAAACTTAGTGCCTAGTTTAAACAGATATGTAAGTCAAAAGGAAGCTGACTTTAACAACTTAGCTCTAAACATTAAAGCATTACATTAAAACATTACATTAAAACATTACATTAAAACTTACATTTAAACGTTACAATAAAACTTACATTTAAACCAGAGCGCGCCTCTCAAAACAATCACGGGAGTTCTTTCTAGGCTCAATATATATTTGTAGTTTCATTAATTGTTTTCGTCCAATTTTCGTCTACTATTAGTTTCTGGGCCGACTATTTATACATACTTCACAGAAACTGAAACCCCCCTGATGTATCCCCATGTTTTAAATCAAACCAATAAAGATGACGATTAAACAATGAGAAGGTCGAAAATTTTTAATAATTAAACACTTATCTCAATTTATAGTTATTGATATATTCCTTTCTTCTATAGTAACAAGAGTTCATGCACCATACTTATCCAAGATGAGCACAAAATCAAAATGTAAATTTTATATAACTTTATAGCTATGTTATTTGATCATGTAACTAAAGTCTGTTGCAAACTAGTGCACGCACCAAGACCATTCCATTTAATCTTCACATCTCAAGTTGATTTTCTTTAACACGTAACATATCAACATCTAGTTGTTGATCAACGACAACGTGTAGTTTTCTTAAATTCTTATATACCGTGTTGGTACAAAATCGATGAATGTCATGATATTAGTGTTTGGCTTTTTCGACTTTCTGTGAATTTCAACTGTGTTACCTGACGGTCATTTAAAATTTTACATGAATAAACGGAAAAAACAATTTAATAACTCACGTAATGTAAGGAATATATCGCTTACAGTGGTCGTTATCAAAGCAAAACAAATTAAAAGCATCCCGCTTTTTTGCGATTACTGAAAAATTACACAGGAAACTATTGATATGATATTGATATTGATCGACCTCACCATTAATTTTAATGATCGACATTAATATATAATGTCGATGTAGCCTTCGCGATCAATACAGAATATAGCACAATCATTAATGATCTATTTGAGTGAACAGCTTCCACTACAAATCAGTTTCATGCATGCATTGGGACTCATCAAGTTCTTTATTCCACTTATCGTGGCCGGAACCTTCACAAACGTCAGCTGACGTACCACGTGGTCTGTCAGGTTTGATAATTTTTGCACATTTTTTGTTCATGTTTGATTTTGCAACCTTAGCAAGTCTTTTTTCCTTGTTAGTATCTTCTTTGATTTCACGTGTTGCTCTTAGTGCGTGAATATTGTGTTCGCTCACAGTCTCTTTTTCTTCAACTTGTGGAAAACATTGTGTGTTACGCGTACTTTGAGAAATAAACTGACTTCTTGTGTTTTCCGTATTATTGTTTGTGCCTTGTTTTTCCGTATGTTCACATTGATTTAAGTTTTTGGTGTCATATTTAAGACCATTCGAGTATAGACATTCCTCGACGCACGGCATTTTCGTGACGTTTATGCCTTGGTATTCTTCCTTTGTGCCATTGCGATACCCGTTTGGCAAATGCTTTGTTTCCTCCAAGTTTTCCTGTGGTTGATTTTGTTTCGTGGTGCAATTGAAACTCGTGTATTTCACTTTCCTGCGAATTGTCTTTCGCGAGAATGTATTTTGATGAGATGATCCAGTTCTTGCTCTCACTGAACTACAGTTATCTTTGCTTCTGGACAGTACGCTTGTATTCGCATGCTGGTTGCTAAGTCTTAACTTCAGATTTTGTTTACATATCATTTGCATTGCACCAAATATAAATGGGTTAATGGCAGAGTTTGCGTATAGCATGAGGGCTGAAAAGGCTCCTAAATGATCGTCGTACGGATGTTTCAAATATCCACGGAACGAAAGCCACATCCAGTAACAGTCACCAGGTAAAACACAGATCACGAAAGTTAACACTGCTGTACTGAATTTCTAGAGAGCAATTGTGGAAGTTGATTTGTTTGTTTTTCAAGGACAGGAAATCGGAATAAGAACAGCAATTGAAACTTTAAGCAGACATATACCGTTGGTTGGAAATAAGAGGAAATCTACAAAACACCTGCTACTTCGTCATTTTTTCTCACTCCTCTCCCCTCCTCTCCCGTCCCCTTCACTCTCCTCCTATCCCTTACCCCTGTCGACTCTCCTCCCCTAGCAGTGCTTACTGAAACCCAATTGAAGAAATAAGTAACGAAAACTTAACGATAAGCTTACACATAGATTTAGATGCAACCTTATAGCGTAACTGGTTGAACTCACTTTGATGATTTTTTTACTCTGATTTAATCTCTTCAATGTCGCAATGTGTTGTTTCGACGATGTTGTTTTTTTTGTATTAAATTGTTGAAATTGTGTATGCAGAACGTAACCAGCTCTTCCGTAACAGTACGTGATAATGGTCAGTGGTATGCAATAATCCATAATGAACAACGTCAGTGTATAATATTTGGCGTAATGTGCAGACCACTGTTCAGTGCATTCTTTTTTAGGTGAGTATTTTAATGCATTGCTAAAAGGAGTGACGGTAGCGGCTGCTACCAACCAGATAACGACTATGCTTGCAAGGATACTTTTTTTGGATAGTCTAATGGTTAAAAAAGGATAACATTTTTTATTTAACAAAAAAGCTGAGACAAGATGTAGCACTCGATTTCATGATTATTTACATGCTTTCACAGCAAATGTAACTAAAATGCACCACTGACTAAAACTTAGGATGACAACTAATATGTTTTGTTTATCCTAAATCACTGATAACAAATGGAGGATGTAGAATTTCCACCGTTAAGTTTAGTTTCGGTGTTGGAAGAAGTTTTAAGTTAGTGCTTACTAATGATCGTACTTCCCAAATTCTAAACAATCTAAAGGAGCATAGCCCTATGAGTATTATTGTCTCACGTTAAAAATTTCGCGAAACTTCATATCAATAATTTTATATCAATCCGGAGTAACTTTCATATTTTTACATTAAATATGCCTGGATTACAAATCTTTAAACTTGTATGTATATTTATATTGATGGAATTTATGAGTTTTGTCAAAAGTAAAGAAAAGTCTCACCTTCGCTTCAGTGGGCTGCATATTGCCCTGTGTCTCTCGATACTCATTCCCATCAAGGTCAGAATTGATATAAGGATGAGAGACGTTTGCAGGGGATAGATCACGTGACAAAGAACTTTGCCGTACGGCCACCATTTCGAGTAATGCTGATATATGTCCAGCGGTATACCAACAGCGCATACTAATAAGTCGGCTATTGCAAGATTCATGATGAAGCATTCGCTTGATCTTAGTCTTCCACGCAAGAGTCCACTCAAAATGATCACGTTTGCAAAGGTGCCAGCCGCACTGATAGCGCAGTAGAAAACAATTTGTGTGATGAACAAATAGTTAAGATCCTCGTCCGCATCATTTGTGTTATTGGTATGCTGCTGAATGCTTGTGTAGTTTTGATCTGTCATTTCAGAACTGATTAAGAAGAAAGCACATATCACGAAATTGTCGTTGAAAATTGATATTACTCAGTTTCTCATCTTGCATGGGCAGCGATATTGCTTAACACGTCCTCAGCGAAAAGAATGGCAATTTTTCAATGCATCTTGAAGTACGAATACTTTTAAGACCATTGAAAAGTTTGCGATGTGTAAATTCGATCATTTTTTGTCATAGTTCATCGTTTTCTAATCACAAGTATAAAACAATTTTTCTTCATATCGCGTAAGTAATCAGTTTTTGTAACAATCAGTTTTTTATTGCTTAAACACTAGTATGTTGTTAGAGTAATAAAACATGATTTTAAGATATGAAAATGAATTATTTCATTCAATTTTCATTTTAAGCCGCTTGTCACATGACCAAGCACGCATTCTACAGGATGTCTCAGAAAAACTGCTCATCTTTGAAATCCACCGACATTTAGAATTTGGAAGATCCAGGAATAATAAATCCCCAAAGAGCAATAATATAATAAAACATACGTAAATTGCGGCTATTGCATATTGCAAATATAACAGGCATAAAATTCCTTTCAATGATATTAAAGCCTCCTTGGAGATCAATTATGGCTGAATCATGCAAATTTCAATTGTCGGCTGATTTCGAAGATGAGTAGTTTTTTGAGACGCCTTAGGAAAATTGTCAGAACATATCAAATTCTAAAGGTCTTCTTTTTTTTACACCCTGTATATCTTATTTTTCTATGATATAAGTAGTCGTGGGATCCAGGGTCCCAGGGTAGCAGAATACGTTTCTAAGGGGCTGTTTTTTTTCACGGCCCGGTAGCTAGGATTCAGCAAAGCGTTAAATCACTTTGGCAAGTGCAAAAGATTAAATATTTAACAACAAAAAACGTATTAGAGAAATTTCTCTGCGCTCTTACTTTATAAATTCACAAAATCTTCAAATGAAAACAAATAATTTAGCCTGATTTGAAAATTACAACTAAAATGACTTATGACTCTTAAAAAAAGGTTGCAAGTTTTGAGCTTGAAGTTTTGGGAGCTTTTCACATGAGCCTGGTAACTGGGATTCAGCGAGGCGTGAAATGATTTTGAGTCATTGAAAAGAGTAAAAACTTTAAGCGCAAAACTTACAACCTTTTCTTACAAGCTTCATATTTCATTTTAGTGGTAATTTTCAACTCAGGCTATATTAATTGTTTTCATTTTAAAGCTTTTATGAATTTGCAAAGTCAGCATAGAGAAATTGCTCAAATAAGTTTTTTGTTGTAAAGTATTTAATCTTTTCCATTTGCCAAAATGATTTAACGATCCGCTTGATCCCGGCAACCAGGCTCATATAATCAGGCCCTAAGGGGCTCTTCACATGAGCCCGGTAGCCAGAAATGATTATGAAAAAGATTAAATGCTTTACAACAAAAAACGTATTTGAGCAATTTCTCTATGCTCTGATTTTGCAAATTCATAAAACCTTTAAAAGGAAAACAAATAATATAGCCTGAGTTGAAAATTACAACTACAACGAAATATGACGCTTAAGAAAAGGTTGTAAGTTAGTTTTGCGATTGAAGTTTTTGCTCCTTTCAATAACTCAAAATAATTTCACGCCTCGCTGAATCCCGGTTGCCAGGCTCATGTGAACAAATGATTTTGAGTCATTGAAAGGGGCAAAACTGACTTCTAACACAAAACTTACAACCTAAGCGTCATAAGTTGTGAAGTATTTAATCTTTTCCATTTTCTAAAATGATTTAAAGCTTCGCTGAATCCGGCTACCGGCCTAAAAATATATTCTTAATTTTATATACTTTAATGCTGATAATATTTGGTGTTAAATTTTTTTCTTTTTAGAAATTTGTAATTGGCGGCTTTGTTGTAAAATTACTTTTATTGAATTTAAAATGAGCCTCTATGATTTATTTTGACATACCCTAGATCCGTCACTAGATAGAAGATCGAGTAGAGCTTGTAGAAGCCGCTTGTATGAAATCAAATATTTTCGAATGACGTTCCAAGCGCTTATATGTAACCTCAATTTCATTAAAAATTTCAATGCCCGTAGACCATGGAATTGGAAGAGTTTGCCTGAGAAGAATGGACTAAAATTCCAGACACTCTTATTACAAACTAGACGTTGAAACTTTACTAGCTATAATTTTGAACAAAATTACCCTTTACTCGTTGAGATCATTCGTAGTGAATACGTTTATGCAAAAAATTTACATCTAGCTAATATGATTTGTTAAAAATTAATGTCATATTACCAAATGGTTTCATGGCGCATTACACACGTATGACAGTGTCGTATGCTACATTTGCGCTGAAATTTGATTCTATGGCTGTACGCCTGTAATCTCCTAAAAGTTTGTTTTCCCTTAGCACATTTCCCACTTTACACAACATCATTTGATATAAAGTCGTTTTTTATTCATTAAAGCAACTGTACATTTCGCCGATTTCAATACTATCTGCGGACAAAGAGTTTGTTTTGTGTTTTTTTCCTAGTTTAAAGTAGATGAACTTACTGTTCCGCAAATGATCATAATTTAATCTTCAGCGTTTGGAAAAACTTAATTTGACTATTTTTAATAATTTATTTCTATTGTTCGCGAAATACTTTGTGATGTATTTAGGTGTATTGATGCAAAATAGTTTGCAAATTTTCTCATTGCGACAGATTGCAATTCAAACAGAAGTTAGGATTGCCTACATAATGGCTAGTGCAACTGTCACATCACCTTGTCAGAATCAATGCAGCTTAATTTGAAAAAGCGTGCGCTCAAATAAAACGTTAATTGAAACTACGTGATCGATTCATTCCCTCTTCAATGACCTTGCAACTTGACGTGATCAAATTTTTATCGAATGATTATGGATGCGGCTCAATTGAGAAAAATGACAGCTATTGTTTCAAGCATTTATTTATGTACATGTTATTCTGAAGCATAACACCGTTAAAGAGGTGCAAAAACTTTTCGTCCGACCGGAGCGGTCACAGCTGTCTGAATTTACTAGAAACATATCATTATTTCAAATTTATTCGCGTTCTCTTAGACTAGTTCATATCGACAGGACAAGTTCATATCGACAATATCGTGCAACAAAGTACTAAATTTTGAAATATTTCTTCAAGGGCCTTTCTTTAGTTTCCATTATTGTATGTAAAGACTTTTTAACCTACCTTTCAATTGTACACTCGATTTCAAAAAATCTCACGACGCGACTTTATAAACAAAATGACGATAATAGCCTCTAGGTTAAACAATACGTACTTGCCATAAAAAAAACCTCTTCGCGTCGCTAGAAATGGAAATTGCACTAGAAGCTCGTACAGGACTCATACTGTGAGCAATTTTCAGGCAATCGCATATAAATCTATGATAAAAACATGTTTTAGGAATGTGTCTTGGGGTGTCTTCACATGCCACTTAGTTTCAAACGTTAGTTAATTTTTTCCTCGAGTATACCGTCATAGTCCTATTGATGCAAATGATTTATGATGTATGATTTAAAGCCGTACTCTTATCAAAAACGTGTAAATTTCTTACAGTTTCCTTACATTCTTAAACATTCTGTTGAAGATTAAAATGTAAAACGCAGCAGGGCTTGTGCAAGTAGCAATTAATTTCGTCTTTTTTCCCCGATTGCAATACTACGAGCACAATGAAAACGGAACAAACGGAAACATGCGATAAATATAGCTACATATAGCAACGACAAATCATATTTCAGATTTTACTGTAAGTTCACCCTTCGATGGCCATCGTGGAACATCAGCCACACAATGACGAAACGAAATGAAACTCATTTGGAAAAAATTCTCACACTCAAGGCCCATCTTGAAGTAAATTGTCTGTTATCTTCATGAAACTTTAATTGTTGTATTTAATCGACGTCATTGCAAAGTTGTAGCAATATTTTATCAGAAATAGTTTTGGTAGAACATTTTAATTCGTTAGCGCGTTCATTGACTTAGTTTTTTTCTCTCTCTTTTCTAAATTGCTGTATTATGCTTCAAATTTCATGCAAGGAATGTTCGAAGAACATATTTCTTTTACGCGACAAATACACATAACTACCATGAGTTTATCTATAAAACACGCTTTTTATACTTGCCTTCCCAGACGGAATCGATCAACCGTCGTTATTCAAAAAAATTCTCTTGATCTCGTTAATTACTTGTTTTGCCTTCGGCAGATATCGATAGAAAGTAAAAACTCACCGCACGTTTCAATTTCAACGCATGGCAAAAAATGTCGACTAAATGATTTGTATATATTACCACCAACCTTTTCAACATTTGCCACATGCCGGCATTTTCAAAACTTTTAAAAATATTCCGACAAATTGGCCTATTATACATGCAAAGTCGTTTAATATCAATGCTGCGATGCGATTGTTCTTGCTACGTGTACAAATTTTCTTTCAGATCAATAAATTCAAGCTGTTCTCTTCATTTCCCCCCTCCCCTTCTTACTGTGAAACGTGACACGCGTGTTTAATATGTTCAAAGGCTTTGCTGAGAAACAGCTTTGATATTGCTCCTTCAAGCAGTTGCCCTTCGAGCTCTGCAAGTCCGTTAACTTCAACTTCAAGTACCCCAAAGCTGTTTATAACAAATACAGGACAGGCTAGAGCAATAATGTCCTTTCAAAGGACAACACATTAACCTTAATTTTAACCAGAATACGGGGAGCAATATCGTAAGCAACTTTGAAATAATTGATCACAGTGAAATCAGTGAATTTTGCTATATACTCTGGAAGTTGGAACCATTAGAACTTTGAAAACAAATGCGATCAATTACGAGCAATTCCGAGTAAGCCGACACTGCAAGCGCCCGCAATCATATTTTGTGTGTGTATTTTTATTTTGTGTGTGTATTTTTATTTTGCGTGTGTATTTTTATTTTGTGTGTGTATTTTTATTTTGTGTGTGTTTTTTTATTTTGCGTGTGTATTTTTATTTTGTGTGTGTATTAATATTTTTATTTTGTGTGGTGGCCCTTGTGAGCCACCGTACAAAGCAACAGATGGCGAGTAATAAAAAAACATAGCTGTCGACCCTGCCTTTTAGCGTTTTACTTAAATTTCTGACGATAAACTTGATTTTTCCTTTCAAAAGGCAATTCTAGAGAAGTCTAAAGTTGACACTAAAAACGACGTTGAGATATTTAGCATAAGGTAAAATAAGGAAAACAAACAAAAATTCAATTGAAATAACTAAACATGCATTGAGCAATCGAGTAATTCGCCTTTTAATATGAAAGACGTCAAAAACAAGAAATGCATAAAACAAAAAATTATAAAAGACTATAAGGAACCTTTTTATGAATACTAGTATGATTCTACAAAAAAACAATTAAATTACTCGCCTTCCATTCCTTCGGGTTAGCTACCTCTATATCAACTAGCATCTCATAGAAATGTCGTGCTTGTCATCTTATTGTGGATTTTAAACGCCTAAAGTAAGTTACGAAAAATCTAACTATAATAAATTCCAATTTACATTTCTCATAGAAAACCTTGTAAGTGGGTAGTCGTCATATAACTATAATATTTATACAATTTGTCTTGAAATGCATCTGTCTAATGATAACAAGTATAATAATGTCATTTTTCTGCAATTTGAAAACATGCACTTTTTGCTATAATTGCACTTTTATTGCATTAGCAATGATGCCCGCGTGCAAACACATTAAACATTTTTTGTTTCTTAATTGAAAGTAATATTTTTGAAAATTCTCACGCGATCGTGTTTCCAATTTCAAAAAACATCGTTTTTCATGTTCAATAATAATAATAATAATAATAATAATAATATCTTCAAGTCACGTGACTCTGCTACAGTAAAATGAGATTTCAGCGTTTCTAAACTGTCGTTAGCGTGTGAAAGAGATTTATTATGTAGCAAATTTATTTTGCTTCCGCTCGATCTTGTAGGCCTTGTCTTTCAGTGTATGATGGTCTTCTTTGTAAAACTTTAAATCATTTGCTGAAGAGTAGGAAAATGGAAACAAATCAGTGCAAAGCGTTGTTCTCAAACGTTAGTCCAATTTTAGACAACATTGACGATTTCTTCAAGAATCCGGCATCTCCATCAACTCACTGGCGTTACCAGCTCAATGGAGAGTTTACGAAACTTCACATTTTGACGACGACGCTGGGAGTTAATGCTAGTGCGCATGCTTCTTAAAGGCCTAATTCCACGGCAGCGAAATGCGAAATAGTTCGCGCGAAATTTTGTTTCTGCGAAATTTTCTCCTGTAATTCGATTTCCACGCATGAGAAAAAGAGCGCCAACTTTTAAATAATATAGCAATATGGAGTTCAGCCGCAAACAATTAATTTTCCTGCTCTTGATATACCGAAGAAGAAAACGACGTTTGAAAAATACAAAAAGAGATTTTGGGTCAGAAAGCTTTTAAAAGTCGTGCAATACGAGGGAATTTGTGAACTTAGTACAGGAGTTGAAACTGCACGACCATGAGTTGTTTTAAGCAATTCAGGATGGATCCTAGCCAGATGGAAGAGGTTTTAAGCTGGATAGCGCCAAAAATTTATAAACAGGAAACTCGGAGAGATGTTATAAAACCTGAAGAGAGATTATGTGTGACTATGCGCTATTTAGCAACGGGTGACTCTTTCTCAACCATATCGATGAGTTATAGAATTGGAGAAACCACAATATCAAAGATTGTCAGCGAAACATCGAATGCTATTTGGGAAGCAATGTTGGAGAAAAACATTTTGAACATGCCTAAAGCACCAGAAGATTGGTTAGCAATTGCCAAATTGTTTGAAAAACGTTGGAATTTTCCTAATTGCTTGGGGTGCATTGATGGAAAACATGTACTCATTCAAGCACCTGCTAGGAGTGGTTCACTGTTTTCAATTATAAAAAAACTTTCTCAATTGTGCCGCTAGCAGTTTGTAATGGAAACTACCAATTTACAATGGTCGATATTGGGGAAGCAGGCAGGCAAAGTGATGGTGGTGTATTTTCTAATAGCAATCTTGGCTATTCTATTCTTAAGAATCTCCTGCCAGTGCCTAGACCAAGACAGATAGACAGTTCAAATGTTTTATTTCCATTTGTCTTTCTTGGAGATGATGCATTCCCATTACGTCAGAACTTGATGAAGCCTTATGCAAATCCTAATTTGGACATAAGGAAACTTGTGACCAACTATCGCATATCAAGAGCCAGGCGTATAATTGAAAACTCGTTTGGAATATTGGCTGCAAGATTCCGAATATTTAGACGTCCAATTCATGCAAAAGTTGACACAGTTATTTCAATTACCAAAGCTTGTGTTGCTTTGCATAATTACCTAATGAATGGAAAGACATATGCTAACCGATACCGTCCATTAGGTTTTGTTGACCATGAAATCAATGGACATTTCAAAGGAGGGGACTGGCGAGATATGGTAGTTGATACAACTGGTTTGGGTCAAATATCAAGAGTTGGTTCGAACAACTATGCAAAAGATGCTAAAGAAGTAAGAGACAATTTTTGTAAATATTTTAATTCAAAGGAAGGAGAGGTCCCTTGGCAATGGCATGCATATGATGTTGATGTAAATAATTGCCACAAATCATGATAACTTTATTTAAAAGACATTAATGTCATCCCTAAAATTTGCATGGGAAATGATCATGATTCATGCAAGGAATTCAAATTTTTTTCAAAATAAAAAACATCACAACAAAACTTACAAACAAAACATAAACCTGTCAGACAAAACAAAGTGAATATTCACATTTCCCTCATTCATCATCCATCTCTTCCAGAAGAATCTGTTGAATTTTTATTTTTACTTCCAGACTTTTTTTTCTTGGGAACTTTCTCAAAACATCCACAATACTTTTACAAAAAAAGAAATCTTCATCTTCATGTTCTTTCTTATCACTGCCTTGATCTTTTTCTTTTATGGCATTAATTAAGTAGTGATCAATAGGATCCATGTCATCATTTTTTTTCCTTTTACGATGAACTATAGTTGCCTGAGGTTCAACATTAGGGAAGCTTTGGTTTAAAATACCTTCTGCACAAGAAATAGGTTCTGATGATGTAGACGAGGATGGGGACTGGTGTTGTGAATGTTGTGGTTCAACAGACTGGATGGTAATGTTGCGATTACTTAGTGTATCCGAAGGAATGCCAATTGACTAAAATATCTGCAGCGAGGTGGCTTATAAGCACCTGCACCTGACCTGCTCATATCTCTTTCTCTGTCAAGACATTTTTTGAAGCTATCACAGAGATTTTTCCACTTGTCTTTCAGAAAGTTAACTAAAAAAGTTAAATAAAAAAATTTAAGAAATTAAGCTAGTGAACACAATTAACACAAAGATCTTTTATTATTTAGGCAACTGCATTTTTAACCATGCAATTGATGACTAGATGTGGTGCAGTACAATTCACAAAAAATTCAACTGTATCCACCAAGTTGCAAAATCTTGAACATCAGAGTTCCTGAACTGCCTATGACATAATCTGTAAAGGAGAGCCTTGCATAATTTCATCCCACACCATACTCTAGTAAATATAGAAGTCACTGGTGTAAACAGTAGGGAACTTAAAAACTTGGAAAAATAAAACATGCATGAAATATGTAACTTCTGTGTACTCTTTCTTATTACTTATAGCATGTTCAAGGTGCACCTTCACCTGAAGGCTTGGCAGAAAACACACCAAACTAAACCATGTACTCACCATCGCGATTAAGTTTTTGCTAAATTTGCCCAGACAATCCTTTTCTTGTCTGACCGTTTGAAATCAGGGGATTCTCTCATCCATAAAATTGGCAAAGACTGAACTTCGCTAATAAGTATTTCACAAAAATCATCATGGAAATCGGGAGTTTCGTTGGCATTTATGCTATGAAGTAATAGAGCTGTGTCTTCCGAAAGACTAGTCATGTTGATTTCCAGAGACGCCATATTAAATTTGTTTACAAAGCAGTTATTTCATTGGTTTCGCTGGTTTTTTTCGCTTGAGAGTTGAAACAATTTCAACTTTGGCGAAACAGAAATTTTTCGCCGAGAAATGCCTCATGGCAAGGGTGCGCATGCGTTATATCAGTTTCGCGCGAACTATTTCGCATTTCGCTGCCGTGGAATTAGGCCTTAACATTTTGGCTGCTTCTTTAGGCGACGACTACGGTGGCCCACAAGTACAAGCACACTTACACATAACAGCATACGCGCACTAATTCGAGGATGCACACTTACACATAACAGCATACGCGCACAAATTCGAGAGGCCCACAAGTACAAGCACACTTACACATAACAGCATACGCCCACAAATTCGAGGATGCACAGTTACACGTAACAGCATACGCGCACAAATAAATATTCACATTCATGGCTTATTACATGACGCTTCGTAAAATCGGGCTTCAAAAACCGAAAAGATTGCCGGCGAGAAATATTTCATGATTCACATGTTCACAATAGCAATAAGTCAATAACCCAACGATGTTTTGTCCACATTGTGGAAAAGAAAAGGATGAAAATGCAAATTTTGCGAGAACTGTGGTGCAAGTGTATCAGAAATTAAACCTTCGGCCTCTAGTCAACAACCGTTAACTTTCGAAGAGTACATAAAGAAGAACGCAGTCGCCAATCCTTGCACTGATCGTGGCGATCAACTAGGAAATTCCCACCGCGCTGGTAGTTCGTCTACCTTTCAAACTATTAAAAAGGAAGTCAAATGAACGATTTAGTCAAAGGAGAAGAAAGATGAAGTAGTGAAGGTATGTGTATTCAATGTTATGATTATGCCAATTATACAAATTTGGTTAATGAAACTCAATTTTGTGTTGTAGATAAAGATTGGAATAATTGAACTCGACGGTAAAAGACTTAAAATAAGAAGATCTTCTTTACTTCCTGTTGATGTTCGAAAATCAGATACCGGAGTTCAGAAACAGCTTGCCCACAACAGACATCTCAGAGATCATAATGAAACTGAGTGGCTTTTACTTTACCCTGATATGGATATCGTGGGAAATATTCCAGGAAGCAGTGAAAAATTCTCTGTGGAAAAATATATAAATGAACTTGGACGCATACAGTCGAGTAAATTTGTACATTTGCAAAATGCTTGATTTTGAAGGTAAACACTGAGTTCAAAATAAGTCCGGTATTTTTGCATTTAGACTGCTGGAGTGAGCATTAGGGGCATTGCACAAGACAAACACTGGCTGTATTGAAAACTGATATGTCATGCAATAAATAATCAAAAAGCAGTCACATTTTATTGAAGCAACATTTCTGAGCTTCCCAGAGTTGAATGGGCCTATTGACTGTATTTTACTGGTGAATAAAGGTTCACTACTGGGGCAAGCACAGAGCAAAAAAAATGCCCTAGTACATAAAAGTTAAAAAATGCCTTAGAATAATTATCTTGCAACTAACATTAAACCTTCAAAAGAATTTGTTTGTAGGGTTAGTAATTATGTTATATTCTAAATTTAGTAGCCAATGATTTGACTGAAGACCTCAAGGAAACGGTTGTTCCAGATACTGCTGATTTTTGAAGATAATTCTGTGCAAGAAAATTCTTCAAATTATATGTGAACTGGGAAATTCTCAACAAGTCAATGCAACACCAGATAATTTTGTGGAAGTTAATCATGCTCATACCAATGCTGTTCCAGCTAGTCTTGCAAAAGCTAGTCTAGTGGAGGCCAGCCATGTTCAAACAAATCCTGTTCCAAGCAATGTTGTTAATGTTGATAATAGTTGTGTGGAAGCTGTTTCCTTTCAGGTTGATTCATTTTCAGTTGAGCAAATCATTATGGAACCAGGTGAAATGCCTGCAAATTTTTCAGGATGCAGGTATAACTAATGAGTTGTTACATATGTATCCTATACATTTTGTATATTTCATTGTTTTGTATTTTAAATTTATTTTTAGATGTAACTGAATCCCTACTAGATATTATTGAACCAGAGCCAAATCTTGTACAACCAGCTCAAGTTAATTTACCGAGGAACAATTGCATGTGCTAGATCTGCTAATCCATCGCACAACCCTTTGAAAGATATGATAACAGAATTTTATAATCCAAATGTATTGAAATCTACTATATTTTTTAAAGTAGTTGATGCAAGAGGTATATTTGAGGAGGGAGAAGGAAGAGGTGTTGCACGTGATCTTCTTACAGAGTTTTGGCACCTTTTTATCAGTCATTATCTATTGGAGCATCTACCAAGGTGCCAGCCATTCGTCATGATTATCAAAAGCTGGAATGGGAGGCAGTGGCTAGAATCATGTTGTATGGCTACTGCAAAGAAGGAGTGTTCCCCATTACATTGTGTTCAGCTTTTGTTGCATGTACTCTCCATGGTGAAGACAGTGTTTCTTGTGAAGTGCTGTTAAACTCTTTCATGGAGTATATGGCTGAAGACGAGAGAGAAGTGGTTGATAACTTAATGAAAAATCGATCACAGATATGTAAAAATGAAGACTTACTTGAAGTTTTAGGAAGCTACAAGTGCTATCTCAATCCCACAGAAGAAAATATTGAAGATATATTATGCCAATTAGCTCACCAAGAACTTATCCAAAGACCGCGGTACGTTTCCAATTGTTGGGCAACAATATTGCAATCATTGAAAAGTCATCCTGCGTTTCAAGATGTTGCAAGCATTCTTTGCTTTACCAAGAAAGAAAACCCACGTCCAAAAAGGTTTTGAAAATTCTAGATGCCTCCCCCGAAAATGAGGCACAACGAAATGCATTTGATCATTTGGTGCGCTATATAAAGTCTCTAGGTGGCAACGTAACCGCGTTCCTTCAATTTACCACAGGTTCTGATATCATTTTAGAAGGTCAAAAGTTAAAGTGTCATTTACAGAACTTAATGGTTTACAACGTCGTCCTGTAGCACACATGTGGACCATTGCTAGAGATTCCCAGCACTTATCAATTTTATAATGAACTTGTAGAGGAGTTTTCGTCGATCCTAAGAGAAAAAAGTGCCTGGTCGTTTGACATTGTATGAAAGTTCTATCACATGTTTTAGCACACTATTATGACATATTATATTGTGTTTTACATTGTAGAAACACTTTTTTTAGTTCACTTTTGTTAAAAAAGATTTTATGGACAATGATGTGGTGTCATATGAAGATGGAGGTTATGGACCTTCCCTGAATATGAAATTATCTTATTTCTTTATAAGATTACCATATACGTTATCGTTTTGAGTTATTAATGTTAAATATGTTTTGTTCATTGCTATTTGCTTTAAGCTGCTTCTAGAAGTCTTTCATATGCCATTAAAGCTCTCCATGTCTGGATCTGTCCTATTTGTAACACACCAGCACTATACGAGAAGTATTTTTGATATGTAGAGACCTTTTCTGTCGACACATTAACTGAATTGTAAATCTCTATAAGATCTTCGTCGTCATATTGTTTCTGAAAATCTTCAGCTCCAACTGCTTCAGGTAGAAGGTAAAGCTGATCAGGGATCCCGCATGAGTGTAAAACCTGGATTTGCGTACATAGTGACTGTTCCACGATTCCTTGATTTGGTCAAGTCCTTTTTAAGACAGGACTAAAGCAAAACCATAGACATTCAAGTTGAAGTACGTTGCTTGTGTCTAAAACCCTTTAGCTATCAAATCCTTAAAAATTCATCCACCACGAGGCCCACGAGCGACGTAACATGGCCCACCATGCTTCTATTCGCTGATTGCTGTGTGATGATCCATATTGATGAGCATTGACGTCAGAATGTGTGTCCGTACCATCTCGGCGTAAGAAACACTGGGCTGATGCCATAATCCCATTTTCTGTTCCCTATCTGTTCTAAGAATTTTAGGACAGAGTTGCATATTAGATATGCAGTCGTAAAATAGCCTGCCCACTGATCATTATTTGAAGGAACTATATTTAACCACAGTATTTTCCTGCTAAATCCATCTATACACCCATGGATGGGGAAACCATACGGTTTAAGTTTGTCGTAACCATCGGCATGCCAGCAATAATTTGGCCCCGGATTCATGTAAGCTCTTCTACGAAGACGGTTAGCCCGTCTCCATTTCGATCCCTCTGGATCCACTTCTTGAAACCAAACGAGGAACTTGCAAGCCATATTTTGACTGCAATCGTCTCCACATGGCTCTATAGCCCAACAATTTACCACTTCCATCTAGTTCTCGAACAATGCATCTTCTTACGTGGTCTTTATCAACGGTATTTCCACGTCGTTGCAATCCATAAAGCTTAAGCTTATTCAGCAAAGTACTTCTAGAGATGCGAATTCCATGATATTTTTGTAATAGCTGTAGAATTGTATCATACGTGTAGTTTTAGTAAAATAGTTGCGAATGATATCTTCCATAAGTCTTTAAAGGTAGTGTTTAGCAGCGGAAAGAAATGTCAAGTAATAGACTGCCGGCTTTTCCTTTTTAATTTTGAACTTACGTTTGTTAGTATTCGAATTTTTGTGGGCGTATGCTGTT